AACCAAAAGATAGAAAAAACTGTTAGTTTATTTCATTACAATTCCCACAAACACAACTGTTGAAAAAGGTTCAGTGAAATGTTATATCAATCAAAGATAGCAAAAACTGTTAGTTTGCTTCATTGCAATTCCCACAAGAAAGTAAGGCCTCAACTACTCAATCCTAGGAAAATCTGAAAGAAATTCTAAAAGGTTCAAAAAACAAAAGAAAGTACTAGACCTGGTACATTGGTATGAACATTGATGATTTTGTACAAAATTAAAAAGAACAGATTGGTATGGAGACCCAATCCCTTATAGCACTTATATAATCTCCATAAACCAAAACCTTAAAGAGGCTATACATTCTTGTAATATTTTTAGATGCAAATGTCATACATGGAATCAACATTCTGAAGAACAATTTATAAGCATAAAATTTCAAACATCCCAAAGACAGAACAAAGTTAGTAGGCTTCAAGGAGCACTGTATCATGGATGTGCTACTACAGGGCTACTAACTTCCTTTTCTATAATACTAAATTAATGTGTTATCAAATCGCTCAAGCACACATGAGTTACATAGTTAAGCAGGAAACAAGATTCAAAAGAGATCATACTCACAGTGTCAATAAGATCTCTGGGTGTCGGAAGTACGGCACCAGCATGATAGTAATCTATGCCAAGTCCCCCACCGATATTTAAGTAATCAACTTCAAAACCTTGAGACCGGATTTCGTCAATGTACTTAACCATAAGAACAGCAGCATCCCGAAATATATCCACCTGGTAATATATATATATATATATATAGAGAGAGAGAGAGAGAGAGAGAGAGAGAGAGAGACAGAGAGACAGAGACAGAGACAGAGACAGAGACAGAGACAGAGAGAGACAGAGAGGGAGAAAGAGAGACAGAGACAGACTTAGATTTTGTGATAAGAGAAGTTGGTGTACATCTGTCATAACAATAAGGACAACAAATGAACATATACTAGCAGAAAACGAAAACAAGAAGAGTCCTAAGTGAACAACACTGAACAGAACAAGAAGAAAATAAATGGCCAATAATAATGTCTTCCAACCAAGACTTACCAGCTGAATTTATAACAGACAAAATGGCAAGTTATACACTGAGACACAATTATAACTTGTGTAAAGGTTCCTGTTTTAAAAACTGTTTATTAAGAATAACCCGTTGATAATGGCTTTTCTTTAAGTGTTCAGAATGACCTCATACAAGCACGGATATGAAAGGATATCACATGTAAACATAATAATATAGAGGGGTATGAACACCAAGTAATCAGCATACCTTGGTAATAGTGGATCCAAGATGACAATGGGCACCAACAAGTTTTAGCTCATTCGGATGTGCCTTCACAGCATCCAAAAACCATTGCAGCTTCTCATTTCTAATACCGAATTTGGAGTTCTTGTTCCCAGTGGCAACATAAGGATGCACCTAAGAAATTAACACAAATATTAAAACAATATACAAATGGTTTAAGATCAATGTAACAGTCAAGCGCTTCAATATGGATAACTTTCCAATAATATTCCAACAACTGCCTGAACTTGCTATTGGAGCTGGAGAAACTGGTGGGGTAGGGTGGTCTGAGCAGCATATATGAGGCATGGTAGTGTCCCATGCCAAAGATCTGTCTACATTTTTACAATAAGAAATAAAAAGGGCACCAAGTTCACCAAAGTACAACTATCTGAACCTAAATACATGTGGTGATCATGTCCTAACATTTTTAGATTTTTCGCACGGCTGTCCCATGTCCAGGCTACATAGCACATATAACAAATAATGGTTTAAAAAAAGGTGGTACCCTGGTAGTTGGCAAACTCTCCAACTTCAGAACTAAGCACTAGAGTGCTGGAAAAATCGAACATGCCATAATGGTTGTGGCATCATTGTGAAAATATGCACTCATGGCAACAACACTGTTTATTAGCTATGTAGTTAAGAACTTAAGCTAAAAATCTTGTTCTATAAATTTAACATGATAAAGCAATAATGCAATGGTATTAGTTATATTTTAATTTCTTTGAAGTAGTCATTCTAATTGTTATCAGCTTCCTGATTAATTTAATTACTCAAAAAGTATTAATACCATGAATAATATTATGCATCAAGCACATTCCAAAACTTGAAAATATTCAGGCAAGTATGATTCTAGAGTTAAGACGCATTGAGAACCTTCCTATCATAGACTTTTAGCTTAAGCATCACAATGACTAACTAATGGCTTTCAGTTAAAGATTCTATTTCCTAAGTTTTCTAAAGACCAGACTAAACATCTCATATGTCTAACATCTGCACTTCCATGATTCATGAATATCATCATCATTACCTGAGGGTCCACGTCTGGATTAATCCGAAGTAGAACATTGACCCTCTTTCCAGCAATTCTTGCAGCAGCAACAATATTTTCCAAGTCAAACTCGCTATCAACATTGATAAAAACACCTTCTTGGGCAGCCAAAACCAAGTCCTCCAACAACTTTCCATTCCCATTAAAAATGCACCTGTTCAAACAATTGTACAAGCACATTTTCAAAACACAATTATTCATACACAGGTAAACATATCACAAAGCAAGCCACAGTTTAGATGACAGATTGAAATCCCGTTGATGCCATTGATACTAAAAATAATGTAACACAAAGAAACCTTTTATTCACACGCAAAAATTGAAACAAATGATGGGTATGTATAATCTTACTTTGTGGGATCAAACCCAGCTCGAAGAGCCAACCTGAGCTCATTCCCACTAACCAGAACAGCACCACAACCCAACTGTCTCAGATGCTCCAATATCTTGTAATTGTTGTTGGCCTTAATCGCATATCCAATAACAGAACTCAACCCCTCCAATGCCTCCTTATAGGCCTCGACGTTTCTAGTGATCTGTGGCTTGCTGTAGAGGTAGAAAGGCCGCCTCTCAACCGAATCGATGACCTCCTGTACCTTGAGGCCCTCACAATAGAGAAACCCATCTGAGGATTTGGAGAAGCAGTGCTTAAAGGGGGTCGTTTGAGGGTCTTGGGTGAGGGATTTTGATGGGTTTTGGGAGACGACGGCTCTGAGAACCAGGGGTTTAAGGGAGGCGGGTCTGAGGGGTAGAATGGGGTTTTGGGAAAATGGGTTTCGGGTTAAAGGGTGCTTTAGGGGTTTGGAGAAGGATGATGATGAGGTTTGGAAAGGGAGCTGCGTAGCCGCCATTGAGAAACGAAGAGGGAGAAGAGGGAGTGTGCGTGAGACTGAGTACTGCTTCAAACTGAATAAGGCACTACACAAAAGGGCAACATGGTCTGAACATTTTAGTAATTTCAGCAAAATATTAGGAGCACGTTGAACAGAAACATTACATCTCGTCAAATTTATTTCATTAAAATTGAAAAGGATATTAAAGAAGACATTTTTTTTCCTCCGAAAATCACATTTTTGACACATATACAAATTTAATTTAGGAACATTTTGGAAAAAGCAAAAGGAGAGAGAAAAATTTTAAAAGAAGCAAAAATGGTCAAAAATGCCCTTATTTATTTTTAGATTTCCTAAGAAATCCAATACATTTGCATGTCTTTGATTTGAAAGTTGAGCGGTTTTTTTGTCTTTTTTGAAAAAGCTTTGGCTTTTTCCAAAAGTGAAAAAAATTTTATGTCTAAAACCTAAAAACCCTTTTAATTTATCGCAACACAAACAAACACTTAAAAGAAAACATTTTGCACGCATATCAAACTTTCATTAGTAACAAAATAAGAGTTCTTACTTACACAGAAAGGATGCAACATTTTCAAATTGAAAAACCTAACAAAAAGTGTATTAAATTTGAAATAATAGTACACCACAAAACTTTTAACAATTGGAAAAACTTGTTTTCGAGCTCTCAAGGTTACTCCAAGTGCTGAGATCCATGGATTGTGACTAAGGTGGTTGATACTGAGCATGACTCCTCCCACCATATTATGACGAATAATAATTGATCTCAATTTAATGAAGAAGAAAAAAGATTGTTGGTACGCTGCAATAATATTTTGGACTTTTCACTAATTTTAGGATTTTGATGAATTAATTTCTCACAAAAAAGTAATATGTTAAATCTAAATTTAGCTTTTGGTCTCTAGCATTTCTCATCTCAAAATTGGAAGAGGTTCCAAGTTCAAATTCCCTGTCGAGTGCCCAACCATATTATAAAAAAACTAGTCGAATTAGAAATAAACTGAGTCGATCATTGTGTGAAAAAAAAATATATCTTTTATATTATTAAATAATTTTGATAACTAATTTAAAATAATTCGATTTCTTTGCTCTCATATCCTTGTTTTATCTACCTGCTATAACTTTATTTTCTAGTAAATTTTTATTTGATGCTTGTGTAATTAACTGCTTTTATTATTACAATGGCATTTTTTGGTATTTCGAATGTTTCACCATTCTCTGCCTTTTGCTTTATATATATATATTTTTTTTCCTGATTGCTTACAGATAAGTGAGACCAATTTCAGTTCCACACAAACCAATTTCAGTTCCACACAATGTGAGAGAAGTTGAAGAAAAAAATGTTGGGAACAGTTGAGAAGAGAGCCGTTGGTGGTCGTGGTTTCTTTCTAGGTTTTTGGTGGAAACAAAAAGTTAGTTAACTTTGCCTGGGAAGACAAACGACATTTGAACGATCAGTTGGGGGCTTTCCATTCCGCAGAGACTCTCTCTTTCTCTCCCAACAGAACAACCTAAAAAGCTGTCATGCATTTCACCCCATGTCCATGGAAACCAAACAAAATCTCATGTCTATCTCTGTCTTTTTCTACCTCAGTTTTGTCATCTTCGTTGTCCATTTGGTCACAGTTTTAGACATTAATTCTTGTGATATACATATATATATACACACACAAATATATGTAGGCTCTAAGCTCCGTACATTGTTGTCAAAACATATTCTCTCCTAAATCCTTTGGTTGCCTCGAAACAGTTGAGCAAAGCAAACCTTGCAAGACAGACATCGACCATGTGTGACGACAATATGCCCGGAACTCTAGACCAACACCTTAAACCTGGTAAGTTCTATTAATCCGAGATTTGTCATGGAACTTTATATGAAATCAATGTATAGTTTTGAGGATTATGTATATGTGGTCTTTCTGAAATTGAAGGAAAATATTTGGCTACAGAGTCATTCCTCCTTGCCGACAAATCACATTCTTGACATGCGTGTAGATCCTTTTCTTTTGTAATTTTAATGAGTTAGTTTTACGTATGCGTCCAATGGTGATATTTAGATATGTAAGGAGCCAAGCAATGTCCGAAATTGAATTAACCCGTTAACTTCGTTAACATTTTCATATGGACTTCATTATTCGGTGCAGTTCTCGAAGAACACTCTGAAGACGAGAGGAAAACAAGGCTCGGGCCTCTTAAGAAGGTAATGAATGCCTCCACCAAGTTAAGGTGTTCCTTGAGCAAGAGGGGTCGAAGGGGCAACAGAGTAATGCCTGTCCTTATTGAGGACAACATTGGTGCAGAAGACTTACAGGCCGTGGATGCATTTCGCCAAGCACTTATCTTGGAAGAATTGCTGCCTTCAAAGCATGATGATCATCATATGATGCTAAGGTTACATACTTTATTCCTTGTTTCGGTTCTTGTCAACGATTTTAGACGGTTGAGTTGCCATTATCTGATTATGAATAGATTTGTTATCCTTGTGTATGATGGTACAGATTTTTAAGGGCCAGGAAATTTGACATTGTGCAAACAAAGAAAATGTGGGCTGATATGCTCCAGTGGAGGAAGGAATTTGGTGCTGACACTATTATGGAGGTATTCTATAAAATGCTTTATTGAACTTGCTGTGTCGTGGAGACTGTCTAGTTCACTACTATCCATGTGTTTCCTAAACCTTTGCCTTTGGTTATTTTGTTAAGGACTTCGAGTTCAAGGAAATTGATGAAGTCGTGAAATACTATCCACAAGGACATCATGGAGTTGACAAGGATGGACAACCTGTCTACATTGAGAGACTTGGTCAAGTCGATTCTACCAAGCTGTTGCAAGTGACAACAATGGACTGCTACGTGAAGTACCACGTACGGGAGTTTGAGAGGACCTTTGTGTGTAAATTCCCTGCATGTTCCATTGCAGCAAAGAAACACATTGATCAGAGCACCACTATTCTCGATGTACATGGAGTGGTATGTAAAACTGATCTTTAAGTTCAAGTTTGCATTTAATATTATTGGAATTTTTTTTTGGAGATCTATAATATCATTTTAATTTTTCCATCATTCTCATTTTTGAAGAGGTAATCGTTAGTTCGTTTAATCGATGTGCAGGGGCTTACAAGTTTAAACAAATCTGCAAGGGAACTTATCCAGTGCCTTCAGAAGGTTGATGGTGACAATTATCCGGAGGTATAGTGTAAATAGCTGTATCATTTTAAGTTTGATAAGCTTCTTGGTTTGCTTCTCTTGCATCAACAATAGCTTTTGTATTCTATGATACTTATTGAGTATTTTGTTTACCGTAGACCCTGAACCGTATGTACATCATCAACGCTGGTTCTGGATTTAGACTTTTATGGAACACTGTGAAATCTTTCCTTGACCCCAGGACAACCGGAAAAATCCATGTAAGCATTTGTATTTTGTCTCCCTTATACTTCCAGTTTGAGATTGTGATACAGTAATGGTGCTAAACGAGTTGATGACTATGTTTGTTATCAGGTTCTGGGAAACAAATACCAAAGCAAGTTGCTTGAAATAATTGATTCTAGGTAAGAATCCTTCTAGGCAAAATATTTTTGAGAATATATTTTCTTCTATTCAAATGTTCATCTTTCTTTACATCTCTTAGTCCATATCTAGTTCAAGCTAAGCTTAGCAATCTCCTTGATTCACATTATCTGTATTATAACTTCAAATTTTCCTGTGCAGCGAGCTGCCAGAGTTTTTGGGTGGTAAGTGTACTTGTGCTGATAAGGGTGGCTGTATGCGTTCCAATAAGGGCCCATGGAATGATCCAGTCATCATGAAGGTGATTAACTACTAATTGTGTTTTTTCTTTATTTGTGTGATATCTTTACTCTGTTCTTCATAGTCTCAACTCTCGAATGTGAATAAAAAGCTCACGAAGTTGGGTATTTTGATGAACCAGATGGTTCAAAATGGTGAGGCCAAATGCAAAAGGACAGCTTTGTCAGGCACTGAGAAGGCAGGCTCAAAGGTACTCAGACCTTGGCTCAAGTTTCCCTCTTAATTTGTTTCTATGCATGGCCTCTCTTCTAATCAGTTTTTATAAATGGTCAATTGCCTGACTCCCTATTTTTTACTATTTTCTTTCGGTATTCTACAACATGAAGAGATGTGATTCTCTCAACTCAAAAACTGTTCCAGAGGCTGACATGAAGTCTCAAGTGAAGCAGCAAAATTTATCTCCTTTGCCTGAAGATGTAAGCTTAATGAACTTCCATCCATATTTGGAAATTATTTATGACTAAAACATGGGAACTTTTTGTGATGCCTTTGTTTTCTTTGCTATTTGCTTCATCTTTGCAGGTTGTAATTACCAAGGAGTGCTATAGGACCTATGAGCATGACGACTTTATGCCAATGGTTGATAAGGCTATGGATACAACTCTCACTAAATCAATTCAATGTGATAAAATTTCCCCAAGCCAAGGTATATATAATTCTAATAAATGTAATGGCTATTCTTTCAAATGCTGATACTGAAGTATATATGTTTCTCTTCCAAAGCTACAGATAGTTTCCCTGTGCATTACGCTTGCAGGGATCTGGAAAGACTAAGCAATCAATTTGTTTCTGGAATGATGGTTTTTGTCATGGGTATTTTCACCATGGTTCGATTGGCACGAAACATGCCTAAGAAACTGGCTGAGGTTGCCCACTATGGAAACCCTGTTTACTCCACTGGAATGGCGAATAAAGGCCACCACTTGCCTGCACCAGCCATTTCCAGCAATGCATACGTGACGATGATGAAGCGCATGTCCGAATTGGAGGAGAAAGTGAATGTTCTCAGCACAAAACCAGCACTCATGCCACCCGAGAAAGAGGAAATGTTGTACACCACTCTCAACCGAATCAACGTATTGGAACAAGATCTGCCAGCAACCAAGAAGGTAATCCATCTTTATATATATATATATATATATATTGAATTCTGTTATTGAAGTTTGCACTCAAAATAATCTTGAGAAACTACACATAAACATACTCATGCACATTTTCCTTTTGTTTCGTTTCTGCAGGCACTTGAGGACGCCCTTGTTCGGCAAGAAGAGCTTGTAGCCTACCTTGACAAGGATAAGAAGAAAAGGAAATTTGTATGTGACCGCCTAATATTTGCTTAACCAGTTCAAGTTATGTGCTTTAATTCAGAGATCTATATTCATGCAAGTGTTTTCACCTTCTTGCTTTTTGGACTGTAATTGCAGAGCCTATTCTGTTGTTGGTGAGGTTATCAGCGCTGGTGTTTTTCCAGGCGTAACGGGTGACCCGAAGGGGTCAGTTTGGTGGATTTGTTGATTCAGGTTTGCATGGTTCTAGGGAGGGATGAAGTGTAAATTTTTTGTCTTTGTCAGGCTATTTGCAATGACATGAATTCTACCTTGCATTGGAAAGCTTCAAGCAGTGGACTGAAAACTGGAAACCTCACCGCCTCGGTTTTTTTATTTTCTTCTTAACATCAATGTAGACGCAGCTGTTGAGGGAAGGTTGCACCGAGGGGTTGGTCAAATGTTGTTAGCCACGGCAAAACCAGAGCAGGGTACTTCTCTCACCAAACACCATGGAACAAAATAACGTATTTGAAACCAATACAGTTTGCAAAAGATGCAGGTTTTTGCGATCCACATGCAGAATGCAGAAGAGGACTCTGGCTGCAAAGGAGTTTAGATAAAAATGCCAATTAAACTAGTTTGTTGAGTCAAGATCATGCCGTACACTATTCCGATGTGTTTTAGTATTCATGTTCACACTTCGTGTCAATTTTGTATTCATATCAAGTAATAATAAATTATAATCCGTTCATTTCGTGTTTTGTTAACCTGTTTTTGTTCATGTTTCTGGTTGTTCAGGGCTTCTGCAACAACCTTTTTATATTATTTTTTTTCATTTTTATTGATTTTGAATTATAGTTATTTGCATTAGAAAAACCTACGGTACTTTTATCTATAGTGCTCCTGCAACAACCATTAAAAGTCTTTAAGCTCCTATCTTTAGCTCCCCAAAAACTAGGGGGGGGGGCATATTGAAGTCTTCCCAAAGGCAAAAACTGACGATTTCCGAAAGTCGCTGCTTCATTCTTATTTCCTGCATCTCATGGCGAGCCATTCTTAACCACATTGGTGAACCAGCAATCAACCGTGGACAATTGTTGACTTCTAGAACCTCTTAAATCTCTTTATATCGTTTTGACAATTCCCAAGAACTCCATTATGGCAAGAAACCTCTTGCCTCAACGCACTTCGGGTGAGGAGGTGCTCCACGCAAACCTAAAATTGGGTAACTGGGATCTCTTGTGTAGAAACGAGATCCCCATGTCGAATTCCTTGCTTCTTGTCTACATAGACCTATGAATTCTTGACATACATTGATATGCAAACTGCACACCAACCCTTCTTGTATAACCCACATGCAACCGCTAACTTTACTCTTGGATTTATGGACCAATTCCTTCCCGAAATCCTTCTCTTTCATCAGTGCATGGTTTGGACATGTAAGAGCAACTCCACCCATTTGCCCTTAGCCATGACAAGGGGGGGAGCTAGGGCAGCCACTATTCACGTGAATAGTGGTTGCCCTTGCAAAATCAGAATTTTGTGTTTCCACCCATTGTCCTTGCTTATTCACAACTTTTTTTACCTCAATAATTAATTTGGATAATATTTTCGGATAAGATTTACGGGTTCCTACGTGTCAAGACTATTCATAATCGGATAAAATTTCGGGATAAGATTTTTGGGTTCAAATTTCGGATGAATTTCAAAATTCAAATTTCAAATAAATTTTTGGGTTCAAATTTCGGATGAATTTCAAAATTCATATTTCTGATGAATTTCAAAATTCAAATTTCAGATAAATTTGGGTTCAAATTTCGGATGAATTTCAAATTTCAGATAAGATTGTGTTGGTTGGTTGTGGTTTGGTTGTGTTGTTTGTATTTATTATTGTGCCTTGTTTGTAGTTTTTGTTTTAATTTTAATTATGTTTTGTTTGATGTATGGAATATGTTGAATAAAATGGTCTTTTATTGAATGCTTTGTTTATTAAATAAAGAAATCTAATACAAGTCATTAAGAATTACTACTACTAAAATAAAATACATGAAGTACACCAACTTTAATAGAAAACATGAAAAATAAAAATACATAAAAGGTATGCCAACTAAAAAATAAGAAATAAAATTACAAGGTGAAAGGTATGCCAACTAAAAAATAAGAAATAAAATTACAAGGTGAAAGAGATGAAAATGTTGAGTGAAGAGTGAAGAAAATGTTGAGTGAAGAGTGAAGAAAATGTTAAGTGAAGAATGAAAAAAATGTTGAGTAATTATAGAAGTTGAATAAAATGTATGAGAATTGGTGTTGAAAGTGAAGGGTATTTATAGGTATTTATAGGAAAAAAAAATCAGAATTTTTTAGTATTTTTTTTTTAAAAATTCGATTTTTTTTCATAATTTTATTGCTGGAAAATCGCCAGCCGTTGGATGAAGGCTGTGGAATCAAATCGGAGCGCTGGGGGCGTGCCACGTGGCTTCCAGCCGTTGGGCCTGCGTCGCGCTGACGTCAGCGCACGCTGGTTCAAATTTTTTTTACTGTTGGCGCGTGCACGCGCAAACGGTAAAAAAATTGATTACCGCGTGTCAACGTCAGCCTGACGTCACCCCCCCGCGTTTTGGACCTCGGGCTGAACTTGCTTTCGGGCCAGCCCGGGGTGGTGGGTCCCACACCCCCCTAGCCTGGGCTGCTCCGCTGGAACACATTTTTTTTTTTTTTTTTTTCCTAGCCTCGGGCTGGGCTCACCGATGGAGGGGCTCTAATGGGCTCCAATTGGACCCCTTGGTACAACAACCCCAATTTATTACACCAATTATTTTAGTTATTTTAATATGGTTAGAGTTGAGCGTACAACATGTACAATATAACAGAACTGCTACTCTCCCTATAAAAATTTGAAAGATAACACTAAGAAGAGAAATAATAATGTAAAGCAAACAATTAGTTTTCTAGTGACAAGAAAAACAGATAAAATTGAGTAATGCTATAGGTGCTCTTACCACAATTCTATACCACATGATGTGACATATTACTTGGGCATGCCATGTCATTTAATTTCATTTTAATTTTCTTAATTTTTTTTAATTAAAAACCCTTGTAAAAAAAATTGATTAGATCTTACGTTTTATTCTCCACTCCATCTCTTTCTTCTCTCTCCCACCGTCGCAGCCTCCTCCCTTCTTGTCCTTCCGGCCATTCTCCGTTCTCCATTATTTTAGTTGATTCTTATTTGATTTCTAGCAAACCATCTTTTCTTTCCTTTTTACTTTTATAAAGAATGATTTTATCTAATTGTTTCATTGAAAATTAAAGGAGTCGAAAGGGCCATTGTTCATGACAGAAAGTTCTCATATCTATCTACGATGATTGGTCTTTTCCTATCAATTGCATTGACCCTGCTGTGTCTTTTTATTTATTTTAAATTTACTCTTTTGTGATGTTTTTTCCAGTTGTTCTGGAAAGGAGGAGGGAGGGAGGATGGAGGGTTTAGAGGGACTTTCAAGAGGGGGGAGGAAATTGATTGGGGGAGAGGAAGAGTGGTGCAGGAGGAGGACACAAGAATATGAGAAGTCTGCTAAAGTTTATTATTATTTATAATTATTAAATATATTAACCAAAATGAATGAAAAATAAGATAACTTAAAAGTGAAATTAAATGACCTGGCATGTCCAAGTAAGGTGCCACATCATATGGATTAAAATTGTGGTATAAAAATGTGATAAGAGTAGCATTATTCTTAAAATTAACGGCTATTATAATTGATCGAATAACTACAAGTCAATGGTCGCATCATATTGTCAGTTAATGTGGTTTAGAAAGAAAAAAATTTCGATAAAGTTGCACAAGAGTTATAGTAATTTTGCCTGGAAATAGGTAAATACCGTTTGGAAAACAAAAAAACAAAAAGTTGGTTTTTGCGTGGAAAACAAAGATTGAGATTGAATGGGGTGGCTTGCATTTCGCGTACTGTCTTTCTCTTCCAACAGAAAGCCAAAAGTGGGCAATGCATGCACAGCAGAGACCATGTCAATGGAAATGAAAAAAAATCTCTCCATTCTTGTTTAACTCTTTCTTTTCTATATCGGTCATGTCATCCTCGTCTTCCCTCTCTGGCCGTGCAATCTCTGAGATTAATCCGGGCCATATATATGCTTACCACTTTTATCTCCTACCCTCTACATTCTTTTTTTTTTTTTTTTTTTTTTTTTACCAAAGCAAGTCTAAAGCCGGAAGAAGGGCGGGGGAGGGCGATAGTTGAACTCTGACCATGGATGTGGGGGTGTAGTGCTCAAAATCACTGAAGTTATTAGCCCCACTTAACCCCCTACATTCTTGTCAAAAGGTATTCTCACCTACATAATTTTTTTCCCCTTCAAATTTGGTAATATTGATAAGGTTTCTTATTAATTTGATTCTAATTACTTCCATGCATGCTACTTACCTGGTTGTTTCTGCCTTTGGCTTTTTCTTGAATGTCTGTTTTTTGTAATCTTTGATTTGTGTTTTGTTTTGGTATGTGCAAGGTTATAGGTAGAGGCATATATCTCCCGAGGGCTCTAGTTTTGAGCACCTTATGATACATAAGTGCTTGACTCTCCTATCCTCTGGCGGTCTCAAAACACTTGAGCAACCTTGTGAGATATATTAATCGTGTTCGATCGACAATATGTCTGGATCTGATGTTGACCGAAACCTTAAACCTGGTAAGTTATGACATCCAATACTTGTCTCTCTACATATGTTCTTCCTCAATCTTTGGAATGATCTTCATTGATTTTTAGGTTTTTATATGAAATCCCATATATAATTCTAATGATTGTTATGAAATGAATATGTAGTTTGATGGTCATATATGTGATCTTCTGAAATTGAATTTATCAACATTTTTGAGTTCTTAGGTTTCCCATGTCCATAAGGAATATGCAGATAAATACACAAAATTTCAATACAATATTACATTATAGGTTTAGGGTTTGCCCTTTTTCGGGTCAGAGGTTTAGGGGTTTGCCTAGAGCAGAAAAACACAAACAAGCAATATAGATTAGCTTACGTACATGCTTTAAGTCCTCTTAATCTATTTCTTATGGTTAAATGAGAGATAATGTAGTTAAGGGATAGAGTAAGTTCTCCACTCATGGTTTTTATGCAATCTCCTCCCTTACACCAACCTGGTTATTAGGTTAAAAGAAAGACACAATTAGGATCAAGAATATGATGATTCAAGTGGTTGATAGTGTGTGCGATGAAGTATTTTCCACTACCGATTAGCATATAGAGCATATGCTAATCGAGTTCTAGTCCCACTATTTAGAATTTGAGTCCAATCAATACAGCATCCTCAATGCATATGTAAATGGGGACGGAGATGTGACTGATTTTCATCCCCAATGGCTTTTGTTCACTCCAATGGACCGGGGGAAATGGAGTTGTAAAACTCCCACCTCATCAATAGATTAAAAAAGAGATGGAAGGATGCAACTTATTTTACATCCCCAATTGGAGGGCCACATACCGAGAAAAAGAGAGAGTCTGGAATTTTGCACGTGAGAGTAAAACATGGATGTGAATGTGGAGTAAGAAATAAGTTTAGAGCATCTTCAATGTGTATGTGTAAAATTGGAGATGTAAATATGATTTACGCTCCCCACTAATGCAACTTCTGTAAATCTGATTTGCATCACTTTTACATCTCCACAGTGGAAATTACATTTCCAACTTTTAATCTTCCCATTAGGGTAAAAAAAATATATTTATATCAATCAGAGATGTAAATGGAGATATAAATTTTAGGCTAAATTGTAGCAATGGTTCTTCAAATAAGACCCGACTTTTCTTTTCATCCCTCATGTCGCAAAATTGTTATGGTTATCTTTCAATTAGATCTCGTGTTGCATTATTGGTCTTTTCGTCAATAGAGTTAATTTTTTTGTCAAAATTAAGGGCAAATTGGGAAATCCCATATAAAATATTTATTAGATAAATAAAGTCATTAAAAAATAAACCCAATCTCCCCATTTGAGCATGTGGGGAAGAAGGGTTTGGTGATTGGGGAAGTTGATTTTAGTAGCAAGTTGATTTTTGGAGAATATAAGGAGCTCTTGAGCCACCCAAAGTTGAGCTACACCTCATTAGTTGGAGGCAAAGAAAACCCTGCTGATGCATTTTACTATGTCCATATAAAATTCATCATGGTTTGGAGGGGAAGTGGTTGACATACCAGAGGAGACTTGGAATTTGTCACCAGAAGGTGCCGGAGGATTTGGGCCATCTGGGATGGTTTGGGTTGCTGGGTTGGTGAGGTAGATGGATGGGCAGATTTTGGGGGAAGAGGATGGCGTGCGGTTGGGTTTAGGTAGAAGGAGGTGGTGGCTAGGTAAAAGTCTTAGTTACACCTAAAATATTTATCATGTGCTTGACATGTGATCAATTTTGACGGAAAAACAAACATAATTGATGGAAAAGACTAGTGGTGCAACGCGAGATCTAATTGAAGTACAACCATAACAATTTTGCAATATGAGGGACGAAAAATAAAGTTGGATTTTAGTCGATGGGACATTGCTAAAATTTAGCCTAAATTTTATAATGTATCACAAAAATATGTATTGAAAAAACAATAATTTCAAAGAATATAACTTTACAGGTAGATATTTGCTTCTAAACAGGCCGCCCTTACAATACCCAGGAATCAAAAAACGATATTCGCTGTTTGATTGAGCTTGCCGCTAGCGTTCGAAATAAGAAACATAAAAATAAAAAACGATCCTAATTCGCGCGCGTGGGATTGGGTGCCCTTCGCTGCCATTTCCATGCGCCAGGAGCGGCCCAGGCAACCCACGCGCCACCATCGTGGCCTTTGCGGCCGCCAGACAACCTCTAATGGAGGAAATTGTGTTGCCCGCCATTTCTTGTGGTTAAGAGAAAGAGTGCTCTCAGGGCCTTTTGGGATCTACCAAGCATGTTTTGGGGTCATGGGTTCAGATTTTTGGTTTCAGCCCAATACATTTTTGACAGAAGAAGATCAAAAATTGTTTCTCTTAATCAAATCTCAACACAACTGGGTGAGTTGCAGGCAGAGATGTCATTCTTTTCTTTATATTTGTAGAGAAAAATTGTTCAAGAATATACCCATTACTTTAAAAGTAGATATTTCCTTCTAAATAGACGTAACAGTACAAAGTACCCTACAAAAAGGATATTCTTTTGTTGAATTTGTTTAGCTAACATTCATGGTCTCAGTTTTGGTTTGTTGGGTTTTCTTTTTCCAATTCAAATCACTCATTTTCATTTTGTTCTTGATTGCATTTTGATTTCATAATATCTAGGAGAAAATGGAAAAGTAAAAGCCTTGTGTTTGTGGGTCTATTTATTTTCACTTATTCTGTGTGTAGATGAAAACTCTGAGGATGAGAGGAAAACAAAGCTTGGGTCTTTTAAGAAGGCAGCCAACATGATTACAAACTCCTTCAATAAGGGTCGAAGGAACAGCAAGGTAATGTCTTTCCCTATGGAGGATGACATTGATGCAGAGGAGCTAAAGGCAGCTCAGGAACTGCGGCAAGCACTTATCTCGGAAGAACTACTGCCCTCAAAACATGATGATACTCATATGATGCTAAGGTTACACATTCTCTGTTTTGATTGCTACTAACATTGATTTGTGATGCCTGAGTTGCTATTATCCGGTTATGAATAGATTGTTTGTTATATTCTTGTATGATGGTACAGATTTCTACGGGCCCGGAAATTTGACCTTGAGAAAACAAAGCAAATGTGGTCTGACATGCTACAATGGAGGCAGGAATTTGGTGCTGACACTATTATGGAGGTATTCTTCAATGCTTTCTATTAATCTGGGAATATAGTGGAGACAATTTAGCCTGACTATCTAATATGTGTCTGAACTTTCCCCTCTGGTTATTTCCTCGTTAAGGACTTTGAGTTCAAGGAAGTTGATGAAGTCTTGAAATACTATCCACAAGGGCATCATGGAGTTGATAAGGATGGACGGCCGGTCTACATGGAGAGACTTGGTCAAGTTGATTCTAACAAACTGATGCAAGTGACGTCAATGGAACGTTATGTGAAGTACCACATACGGGAGTTTGAGAGGACCTTTGTATGTAAATTCCCTGCCTGTTCCATTTCAGCAAAGAAGCACATTGATCAGAGCACCACTATTCTGGATGTACAAGGAGTGGTACGTGAAAACTCATTCTTTTAGTTTAGGCCAATTGGAGATACTCAATTATACTGACGACAAAGTGATCTTTTCATTGAGTTAATGATGGAGATCTGCTGGTCGCTTCTAAATTAGTGGGGTGTCAAACATGATGTTATTTCATTTAAATTTTTCCGTACTTTTAATTTTAATTTTTAAGAGAGGTAATAGGTGTTCGTATAATCGGTGTGCAGGGGCTTACAAGCTTAAATAAATCTGCAAGGGAACTTATCCAGCGCCTTCAGAAGGTTGATGGTGACAATTATCCTGAGGTATCCTGTAAAAAGCTGTATCATTTCAAGTTCGCATTTAACAAGCTTCTTGGCTTGGTTCTGTAGCATGAAAGGTAGTCTTTGTATTCTGTGGCACTGATTGAATCTTTTGTTTGACGTAGACCCTGAACCGTATGTTCATCATCAATGCTGGTTCTGGATTTAGGCTCTTATGGAACACTGTCAAATCTTTCCTTGATCCCAAGACCACTGCAAAAATTAACGTAAGTTTCTGCCATTTGTTCTCTATAAATTAGTCCTAATTTGAAATTTTGATCTAGTACTGTGCTAAAGGTGCTGGTGATTATGCATTAGGTTCTTGGAAATCAATACCAGAGCAAGTTGCTTGAAATAATTGAGGCTAGGTATGTGTGTCCTTTGGAAAAATATATTTTCTTCAGTCCTGTTCTTCATCTTGCAGTACATTAATCTATATCTAGTTCAATCTAAGCTAATCAAGCTTCCTGTGATAACACTCTTTCTTATAATGAACCTGCAGCGAGCTGCCAGAGTTTTTGGGTGGTACTTGTACTTGTGCTGATAAGGGTGGCTGTATGATATCAGATAAGGGCCCATGGAACGATCCAGAAATAATGAAGGTGATTTTCTACTGTTAGAACATGAAATAATTATTGACCACAAACCTAACAACTTAAGCTTTTGGGGATTTTGTTAAATCACCAACCTAAGTTCGAATCCCTCAATTACAACCTCTCAATATTAGGTTGAATTCAACATGTTGGGCTCTAGTGTTGTTGGAAAGAGGCCTACATGTGAGGGAATGTTAGAATAATAAATAATTATTGGCCCACAATTTAACAGCTTAGCCTTTGGGAATAGTGGTAAACCAAATAATTATATCAACAAGTATTTGACTTTTCTTTGATTGTGACATCTCCTAATTCTTAGTGTAACGTGAACAAAAGATCACAAAATCTGTTATTTTCATGAGGCAGATGGTTCAGAGTTATCGTGAGGCAAAAAGCATAAACAACACTCCATCAGGTGATATTGAGGAGAAAGAAGAGAAAGAGGAGAAAAAGGAGAAAGAGGAGAAAGAGGAGAAGACAATCTCTGAACCGGAGAAGACAATCTCTGAACCGGAGAAGACACTCTCTGACGAGGAGAAGATAATCTCTGAAGATGATCAGGCTTGCACAAATGTATGGAGACCTTGGCCCAAGTTTGCGTTTTTGTTTTTTTTGTTTTTTTTTGTGTCTAACTGTCTTCTTTCAGTTTTTATAAATGATCAATTTCCTGACTTTCTATTTCTTTGTTATTTTCTCTTGGTATGGTCCTGCATGAAGAGAATGGATTCTTTCTGCTCAGAAACCTTTTTAGAGGCTGAAATGCATGTGGATCATCTCTCTTCTGTGCCTGAAGATGTAAGCTTAGGGGACTTTCATGTTCCATCTACATTTTACAATTGTGACCCAAACATGTGAATTCTGCGATACCTTTGTTTTCTTTACTAGTTTCAGGCTTTTAGCATCCTAATCTAAGTTTTGCTACTCAAAAGAGGGTGGCTATTTGCAACTTCATCCCTTTTTCTTTCATATGCATAAAACTTCAGGTTCACAACCCCTTTCAAGCATCATTGGGCAACTTTTTTGTATCTTCTTGCAAGACTATGTTTTTTTTAATCACGAAAACCATTTGCATATTTAGATTTACCTACTTATGGATTAGTTAACACTTAACTCTCAACCTCTCCCTTTTTCAAAACTTTTTAGTCTTATTATAGTTCAGCTTAGCCTCCATGAGGATAAAATTCTGCATCCGGCACTTGCTGGGCTATTATCATTTTATGTTTTGATTTGCTTCATCGTTTGCAGCTTTTAACTCCCAGAATATGTAATAGCCCATATTTTGAGGCAATGGACAAGGGAACTGAGAAAGAGGCCGAAAAGCTGAACGCTGCTCTCAACCGACTCAGTGCCTTAGAACAAGAGCTGTCCTCAACCAAGAAGGTAATCATCTTGGTATTCTTGAATTCTGTCAGTGAAGTTGCATACAAAAACAAAATTAAGGAACAGAAACTAAAGATCCAAATCAAGAGAAAAATAAATGTAATCAAGTACATTTTCTTTATGTCCCTATTCTTGTCAAGGTTGAGACTCAAAAGGAGGAAAAGCTGAAGGCTGCTCTTGACCGCGTCAATGCTTTGGAACAAGAGCTGTCAGAAGCCAAGAAAGTAAAATCTTGATACTCTTGAATTATTATAGAAGTTGCATACAAAGTTAAAGCCAGAAAAAGAAAATCTAGACATTTTCTTCTTGTTTCATTATTGCAGGCACTTGAGGAAGCCCGCCATAAACAGGAGGAACTTCTAGCCTCGGTTGACAAGGAAAAGAAGTTTGTATGTAACTTAATAATTGCTAATATTTGCTTGGCCAGTTAAACTTTATGTCTATCTCAGTTCTATTGCAAGTTTATATTTTGACCTTCTAGTGTTTTGGACTGTAATTGCAGAGTTTATTCTGTTGGTGAGGGGGATCAACGCAAGCATTTATCTAGTGTGGTTGATTTAGTAGTTCAAGTTTGCATGGTTCTCAGGAGGGAAGAAGTGGAAATGTCTGCCTATCTGTGTTGGGCTGTTTGGGATGACAGGAATTCTACATTGCATTATTCGTGTTATAACAGCAGGCATTGTTGTTGTGCGAGGAGTTCCAAATTAGCAACCGAAAACCACCCTCCAATATGCAGAGTACTCACAAAAGTAAGAGCCTCCTCCTGGGTTGTTTTATAAGATCCAATGTATATAACTAAGGGAAGACAAAACATGCACCTAGGGGTTGGAATAACTATTAGAGATGCGGGACGTGAAGTTGGCAGCTAATGAAAAACCGCTACAGAGGTACTTTTCACACAAAAAAACTACAGAACTGCAGGGCTATTTGGAAGGAATACAATACAATTTGCAAAAGAAATTGCAGGGTTTGGCTCACGAATTGTATGTGATATGGAGGGAGAACATATGGATGGAGGAGGATCCTCTGTGGCTCTTTCCATGCCTTGCAAGTAATGCATCTGCAATTGTAATATCTTCATATAAAGAGAATTTTCAGTTTTGAGATTAAAAGAAAATTAGTAATTAGGCTTTAGTCCACAGTTTCAACTCTTCGTTTGTAAAAAAAAATATAAAAAAAAATTGTATCAAATACTTAATTAGATGCGGTTCTTACTTTTTCCTTTTAAATATTTAGGTCCCTTGTGAAGTTCTGGAGTTCAAATATTATGTCGCCTCTCCCCCCCCACCTGTTATGCAAACTATATTTTTTATATTTTAATTTTAATTTTTCATCTCTTGAAACATAACCCTATATGTGTATAGATAACATGGAGAACTGATGTAGACCCTAAAAGGGACACCAAAACATTGCAACAAATCAACATGAAAGCATTTTAATATAGCATGACATTGCTGAAATAACTCAAATGTTTGACTTAAATTAATCTATGATTGCCATAACCCTTTCCTAACCCTAGCTAACTAATTGGGCAGCTGGCAGAACAATGCAAAGCACCACGATGAAAACTTAGTGGAGCACCACAATTCACAATATCCAGAGGTGCATGACTTCAATATCTTAAAAGAAAGAAGAAAAGTGGTTGACTATCTCTTCCAACCTTCAACAACCGAGTAGGAGTTCTAATGACTAAAAATAGAATAAACCCAAGAAGCAATCGACACAAAACCACTTTTAAAAATCTCAGATTTTCATGTAAATTTATGTAGGTCAAATTAATATGGTTAGAGTAAGGGACGCAGATCAAGGAATACATAAAATCTATTTCTAATCTCCTATGATACTTTTCCCTCGATCTAGCAAGTGCTCTTTTTAATATCGGCACTCCAAAAAAAGTCATTCTACACTCATCTGTGACAAAAAAAAAACGTAAGGAAATTACAATTCAAGCAATGCCGATAATAGTCACATTTCCTTATTTATCATTTTTAATAACATAACAAAAAAGATATAAAATCATCAAGAAATTTGTGCAGTAGATTTTGCTTGGAAAAAGGTGGAAGCCGTTGGGAAAAGTTAGTTTACTTTGTGCGAGGGAAAAGGAAAGAGAACGAACGGAGTGGCTTGCATTTCGCATACTGCCACCAGAAACCCAAAACAACAAAAATGGTCACCATGCACGGCACAGAGTCAATGGGAAAGACGAGGCAAAATCTCTCTTTTTGGGTGCCAATCTTTCTTTTCTAAATCAGTCATGTCATCCTCGCTGTCTCTCTGGCCGTCCAATTCCAGAGATTAATCCGGGGTCATATATATGCTTACCACTTTCTCTCTTGGCCACCTACATTTTTGTCACAAAGGTAACCATTCTTTCCTGTTCTACACCCAACTCTTGTTTCTCTCTCTCTCTCTCTCTCTCTCTCCCCCCCCCCCAAATTCATATGCTAGCTAGCTTCTGATTCCTCAACTTTTTGAATCTCCATAGCTACCTTTCTTTTGGGTAATTGTCATGTTTCTTTCTCGATAAATATATCGATGCAGGGAAACGTTCTCCTCTCAGACAACATAAGTTTGGCAAGAGAACGATACCCTTTCAATGTGTTAACAAGTTTGTTTTGTCCTCGGCTTTGTCTTGATATTTTTGGTTTTTTTTGGTGTACAAGGTTATTAAGGTGTAGGCTATATCCCGAGGGCTCTAGTTTGAGCAAGTTTTGATATATGAGTGCTTGACTCTCCTATCGTTCGGCTGTCTCAAAGGTAGAGCAACCTTGCAAGATATCAACCATGTGTGGTGACACAATGCCTGGATCTCTTGACCGACACCTTAAACCTGGTAAGTTGAAACAAATCCAATATTTTTGTCTACATGTATTCTACTCAACCTTAAAGCTTCAATGAAATGAATCAATGTTGGAGTTGTCAATGTTTTGCATCTTGTAGGAGTAGGATCATAATTTGAAAAAAAATTCCTTAATCAGGATTAAGATTGCTGGTTGAGGTTTTCTTCTTGGAAACCAAAACAACATAATCGGGATCGTTTTCTTTTCTAGTTAGCAGCATTGTCATCCTTTTGTTCATAGACAATGGAAATAGCATATGTGTGTGATATGTATAGAGTAAATGGTTCAACAATGAAAAATATATTAGGTTGTAGAAATTGTTTAGCTTATGGTTTGGAAATATGATTGTTTGGTTTTCAGTTCATGAAGAAAGTTCTGAGGATGAGAGGAAGACAAGGCTTGGGTCTCTTAAGCAGAAGGCAATCAATGCCTCCTCCAAGTTTAGGCATTCCTTTACTAAGAAGGGACGAAGAAACAGCAGGGTAATGTCTGTCCCAATTGAGGACAACATTGATGCAGAGGAGTTACAGGCAGTGGACGCATTTCGCCAAGCACTTATCTTGGAAGAACTACTGCCCTCAAAACATGATGATCATCACATGATGCTAAGGTTACTTATTCAATGTTTTGGTTAGCATTGACGATCATTAGATGATCAAGTTTCTGTTAATTATGTGATTGCTTACTAAATTTTTATTTTCACGTACGATTGTGCAGATTTTTAAGGGCCAGGAAATTTGACATTGAAAAGGCAAAGCAAATGTGGGCTGATATGCTTCTGTGGAGAAAGGATTTTGGTGCTGACACTATTATGGAGGTATTCTATAATATGCTTTTATTGAACTTGCCATATCCTGGAGATCATCTAGGTCGCTACTATGTTTGTGCTTCCTAAATTTTTCCTTTGGTTATTTTGTTAAGGACTTCGATTTCAAGGAAATTGATGAAGTGTTGAAGTACTATCCCCAAGGACATCATGGAGTTGATAAGGAGGGACGACCTATCTACATTGAGAGGCTTGGTCAAGTCGATTCTACCAAGCTAATGCAAGTGACAACAATGGATCGTTATGTGAAGTACCACGTCCGGGAGTTCGAGAGGACCTTTGTGTGCAAATTCCCTGCATGTTCCATTGCAGCAAAGAAGCACATTGATCAGAGCACTACTATTCTGGATGTCCAAGGAGTGGTACATGAAAACTTTGTGTCTTAATCAGATTGTAGACAAACTAAGCTTTTAGTTCAATTTCAGATTGTAGCTAGATATTGGAGATCTGCTAGTGAGCACATCTAGTCTGTGGGATGTTAAAAATAATTGTTATATTGTTGTAGAGTTGGAGGAGACAATTTCATTTTTCTTTTTCCATCCTTTTAATCTCAAAAGAGATAATTTTTAGTTCATGTGATCGATGTGCAGGGGTTTAAACATTTCAACAAGTCTGCAAGGGAACTTATCCAGACCCTTAATAAGATTGATGGTGACAACTATCCTGAGGTATGTTATATCCTTTAAATATCATTTCAAATTTCATCAAACAAGCCTCTTGGTTTTGCTTGGTCTAGCATGTGTTGAAGAAAGTAAAAATGCCACATCAGAAACTAGACAAAATATATATGAGTGGTTCTACTACTAATAACACCGAGGCCTTTTGAGACATAACCCCACTCCTACTGAGCTATGCATGTCATGTAGTTTTCGTATTTTCTGACACTGATTGAAAGCTTGGTTCACTGTAGACCCTCAACCGTATGTTCATCATCAATGCTGGTTCTGGATTTAGACTTTTATGGAACACTGTGAAGTCTTTCCTTGATCCCAAGACCACTGCAAAAATCAATGTAATCATTTGTCTTTTCTCTACCTTAACCTGGTGCTAACCTATAATTTTGATATGTTACGGTGCTAAACGATTTGATGATTACACTCAGGTTCTGGGAAACAAATACCAGAGCAAGCTGCTTGAAATAATTGACGCTAGGTAAGTATCCCTTCCGGGCAAAATATATTTTCTTTCAACACATTTCATCATTCCATATATCTTTTAGTCAATATCTAGTTCAAGCTAAGTTTAGCAAGCCTTCTGATTCACATGATGCTGTAAGTTATCTGTTTAGTAACCGAATATCCTATTAACTTCGAATTTATGCCATAACACGTTGTCATTATATTCGATACAGCGAGCTGCCAGAGTTTTTGGGTGGTACATGTACTTGTGCTGATAAGGGTGGTTGTATGCGTTCTGATAAGGGTCCATGGAATGATCCAGATATAATTAAGGTGATTTACTTGGTTTCTCTTTAATTTTAGTATTTTTTGTCTATCTTTCATAGTCTAATATGAACAAAAGATTAAAATCAGTTATTTTGATGAGCCAGATGGTTCATAATGGTGAAGGAAGATGCCCGAGGAAGAGTTTGTCAGGAATTGAGGAGAAGATAATTTCTGAAGATGAGAATGCATATTCAAAGGTACTCAAATCTTGGCTCAAGTTTGCCTTTCATTTTGTGTGTTTACGGCATCTCTTCAAACTGCCTTCTCTCAGTTTTTCTAAATGATCGATCACCTGATTTCTGTATGTTTTTTGCATGCTACCACATGAAGAGATATGATTCTCTGAAATCGAAAACCGTTCAAGAGGTTGACGTGCATTGCCAAGTGGAGCATCAAAGACTTTCTCATGTGCCTAAGGAAGTAAGCGTAGCAGACTTTCTATCCACATTTCACAATTGTGACTGGAACATGACAGTTCTGTGATACTTTGTTGTCTTTGCTACTTTTAGCATCATACTCTTAACTTGTTCAACTCACTAGGGGGTGGTTTGGAACCTTCATATTTTTTTCATATCAGTCGAAATTCAGTTTTACAACCATTTTAGAAACTAGTGCCGATTCTGCAGTGCTGAGTCGCCTTTTATCAGTTGATGTACGCTCACTTGCTTCATATTTTTCAGGTTCCAATGGCCAAGAAGGGCAATCGGGGCTATGAGCATGACAACTTCAGACCAATGGTTAGCAAGACTGTTGATTCAACTTGGCCTAAATCAGTTCATTATGATAAATTTGCCCTTGGTGGAGGTATATATATAAAATTAATCCAATCAAGTATAATGCTTGTTCTTCCAAATGTTGATACTAATATATTTCTTTCTTCCAATGCTACAGATTGCTTCTCTGTGCATGATGCTTGCAAGGTTCCTGAAGGACTAACCAATCAATTACTTTCTGCAATCATGGCCTTTATCATGGGTATTGTCGCCATGGTTCGATTGGCACGAAGCATGCCAAGGAAACTCACTGAGGCTACCCTCTATGGAAACCCTGTTTACTACAATGGAATGGTGGTTAAAGGCCAACCGTTGCCTGCACCTGCCATCTCCAGCAATGACTACATGAACATGATGAAACGCATGGCCGAATTGGAGGAGAAAGTGAATGCTCTCAGCTCAAAACCCACAGTCATGCCACCCGAGAAAGAGGACCTGCTGAATGTTGCTCTCAACCGAGTCAATGCCTTGGAACAAGAACTGTCAGCAACCAAGAAGGTAATCCATCTATTTCAAGATATATTCTTGGTTTCTTCCATTGAAGTTTGCATTTCCAGAAGCTAAAATGTGAACATGTTCATTTTTTTTCTTTTTGTTTCCTTTCCTTTTCGCAGGCACTTGAGGACACCCTTGTTCGACAGGACGAGCTTATAGCCTTGCTTGAGAAGAAGAATAAGAAAAAGAAGAAGAGAAGCAAGTTTGTACGTGACTGAAATACCTTCTTTTGCTTAACCATTTCAAGTTATGTACATTTCATATGAAGTTAAGTGTTCTCACCTTCTTGGTTTCTTTTTTTGGATTGTAATTGCAGAACCCTTTCAAATGGTAAGGTGATAGCTCCGGTGATTCGATTGGATGCCCTGGATGAACCACTGAACATTCAGTGTCAGCTGCTGGTGGCGACGTTTCGATTGTGAGCCCCACGGATGCTTTGTCAAATTGCATTCCCTCTATGTTTGCTAGTTTGGTACTGTAAACTTAAAAGCTTTTGTACATTATTGTGCAGTGTGTCTTTCCATTCAAAGTTGTGTATATTTTGACTTTAAATGGGCACCGCTTTAGTTTGACAAAGATTTCCAGGGTCCTCCTCTGTAGAGTCTAGCTTAGTTCCAGTTCAAAGTGCAAAGATAGTTGTTCTACTAATGAAAGGTGGTAAAATGAGTAGACACTAGACAGGCAAAAGGGTTTAGGGACGAATTACGATAATGAGTATTTGGAACCATATCAGCACGGTTAGGTGAAAATTCTAACCATTTAAAAACAAATCAGTTTTTTTTAAATGACGAATTGTTATTGATACTTCAAAAAAGTCATCACGCATGCGTAAAAGTGCAATTATCAGTCTTACAATTATTGAATTACTGAATTGTGGTATGTAACTTAGAAAGGCTTTCTTTAAATAATGGAATTACTGAATGGTATACACTATAGATCATTATCATTTATCATTATTATGCTAAATAAAATGTATAAAATTGCAGCATGACTTTCTTTAAAATTTCTGTGGTCGATTATCTTTAAGTCCTAGTGAATATCTAAGAGCCCATTTGATAACCATTTCAATTTTTGTTTTTAGAGAGAGGATGGGAGGAAGAAGTAACAAAGGTAAAAACAAAAACTTGAAAGTGAACAATTTCAAATGGATTTCACTTTTAAGTTTTTGTTTTCACTTATATTAGTCCTCCTACACATCCTCCCCTCTCATCTTCCCTTTCAATCCCATCTCCACTTTCATTATCATTTCCATAGTTGCAAAAGTAGAGATTATCTTTAAGTCTTTGTTCGATTATTTTTCCTTGTTTTTTTCCTTCTATAATTGATAAAAAATGCACCAAAATAGCCATAATTATAATCGAATCTCTGATTACTCTTTTCAACATTTCCCGGAAAACGGTATAAGATTAAGCAAATCAAACTGCACAAACATCTTTCAAGAAAATAAAACTCAATTGTCATTTTCCATATCGTTCTCTCTAAGACAGAAGTGGCATCATTTCAGATGATATATTCTGTGAGATCAAAGGTTGGTATGTCAAGTCAAGTACTCGTGTAGGGATCACACTTCGAGAAACAGCTTAGCAAATCCCGTTTTGGTAGAGTCTCTCTCCATCAGGCAACACTTCTACCAGCACAAAAACTTCTTTTTCTGATGACCAGCAGCAAGAAAAGTTCTTAGAACTCATGAATTGTGGAAATTGAAAATGAACAAAAAGAATAAATCTACACGGATAGACTGTGCGGTCAACTTACCTGGAGCTTGGCTTCTTCTTGCCGGTCGATATAAGCCAACAACTCTTCTTGCCTCATTAAAGCTTCATGTAGAGCCTGCTCCATATGAAACACACAATCAACATATGCATCATTCTGAAATGCTGAAACAAGTCCAGTAACAGCCGGAAAAAAAAACCCCCAAAGTTGAACATAGCCATTTATATAAAAATGCAATGTGGTTGCATAAGGCATGTGATTGCATTCTTCCTGGAAAGAAATAAAAATGCAATGTGACCCAAAGTTGAATACGTTAACTGCCATAATATGATTTCACAGGTGGAAGGCTCCCATTGTGTTGAGTATTCCTACACATCAAATAAAACATTAATACCTTTTTAGTAGCAATTAACTCTGCTTCCAAGGCATCCACACGACAAACAGCAGCATTCAGCAATTCCTCTTTCTCATAAGGCATCTCAGACGGTTTAGCTTGGAGCATGTCAACCTTCTCCTCAAGCTCCACTAGCTTTTTCAGTACAGAGGGTAGAAGATCTGCCCCTGTAAATGGTGCTGTTGGTGAAGGAGGACGGCCCTCTTCTTTGTTTGTTGCATCAAAAGCAGGTTTGGGAATACTTTGATCGTGATATCCAATGTGTTAGGAAGCTTCTTAGTTACTCGGGAAGCCACTGAGCGGAAGAGAGTGAGAAAAGTCAGGAAGAAGGCCATAAGTGCTACCAAAACCCGACCTCGAATTCCTTCTGGATTTGTGGGGATGTCAGGTTGTTGAAGTGTCCCTGAAGTAAAAAGATCATTTCATTTTCTTGATTTATATAATGTCAGGTATCAAAAAAAAATATTAAAAGAAAAAAAGGTTAAGAGACTCTATAAGTTGTGACTAAAAGAAAAAAGCGTACTATTAAGTATTGCAAGGGTTCCTTTACAAAGCATTTAGTTGTGACTATATAAGTTCAATACCATATAATCTAGCATCTGGACTTGGCCAACAGGTAAAGGAAGAATTGGAGTGGTATGTCCCAAGTTCAAAACAAGAATATGCAAAATGATGAGGTGAAAAAGTATGAGTTTGCTAGAGTCAAATTCCAAAACAGATTTCCCATTTCTGTAAAGGATAAGATTAGTAAAAGTTGCAATATCCTTAGCAGCTTGAAAAATTTATAATCTCTCATTCAACTAATTGTTGAGAGACCAGGATAGTTGTTGCCTGGTTGCTCAGTTCGAACAGTAATGAACTAATTCAGGAAAATCAATTTTTGGTACTCAAGAGTCAAGACCATGGCATTCTGATGAGTGCTTTCTAATATTTCCTGAAGAAGGTATAGTATGTATTGAAGTACACAGATTCATTTATAGTTTTGCTGTATTCCATGTACTCAGGTCCTTTTTTCTTTTTGTAAAAAATAGGCATTTTCTTCAAGTTAATGTCATCTGTTTCCTGTGTTCCTATCCATGGTTCCTAAGTTGTTATGCAAAATCTACACTAATATATACATAATGAGAAAAATTCAGTACTAGATATACCTACCAACATCAGTATTAAAGTAAATAAATTCCCATTTCAACATCATTTTAAGGCCGTTTAGTCCTAAAACTATTTAGTTTTAATAGTTGTTCGAATAACAACAATAAGATAAATTCAAAAATGTTATATTGGCAGCAAAGACCAGGCTAGACTTGCTGACCTTTGGCAGCATGGATTCTCTGGAGGGCCACTTGCTTTTTCCAACCAGCATCAACAGCTTTGTCAACCATAGGAACATATTCATCATAACCCGAGAAGCTACCTGCACAGTTTGCCTTGCCAACGACCTTGGCCTGCATATTTCATTATACCACATCAAAGAATACACAATTCACAATGAGTACAACCAACAATAAAGAGAATAATAAGTTTCCAGTCTATACTTGTTAATTAAATAGCATTACATATCTTAACTACCCAATAGCCCTTAATTCACAACCAATTCAAGCACACTTAATCAATGGTTACTTATCACTACACCAGCCATTGCCAAATAATGCAATGGAGACAATTCACAAAACATACACCATTTTTCATTCTTCCACTCACAAACATATTTCAATTAGAATCCTTTTATAAGAAAAAGAAGAATATATAAATAAAATAAGTATACAAACAACATTGAACAAGGAATCAGTTTTGATGTAATTATTTAGCGCTTTGCTCTGTTTTGCAATCTTCGTTGTGTAGTCTAGCTAGCATCTATTAGCTAGATCAGTGGACAACTTCTCCACTGTATTGTATTGTTCTTTATTAAGTAAAGTATATTTCTTATCAAATAAAACATTGAACAAGCAATCCACCAAAGGTTCAAACAAAAACTTAACATCAAACTAACAAACAGCTACAATTTTTTTTGAAAAGACAAACAGCTACAAACTCATCCAACTAATATAACAAAGCAGCTAAAACAATCTCTAAGTAACAATGGGGAATAACAAATAATGGAATTTCCCACACATCATAGGAAACCAAAGCCACAATGATGCCCAAAAAAATTTATCCCATGAGAAAACCACCTCCTGCCTACATTCTTTTCAATGGTGAACCCTAATTGTTTCTATTTATACTAAGCCAAAGGGAATTACCACAACCACTTCCTTAGAAGAGCCACATTTCCACTTTCCAAATTGCCCCACCCCTAGACCTGCATTCTTCCCGGAACAAGACAAAATTTTCCACCTCACCAAGTAATCCACATTTCTCTTCTTCCTTCTCAACTAGTTTTAAAGAGACGAACCAGATACTTGTACAAAATAAATAAGTTCCTTTTTCCCATTAATCAGTTAAAATAAGTTATAAGCATCGAATGGCATAAATGAATATATTAATCATAATAATTACATAAAGAAAAGGTTAAACCTACCTCTTCACGAACAGGAGTCAATCGAAGATGTGAATAATTCTTCAAAGCTTTTGGGGATGCAATATCTTCCGCTTCAGATCCTGACTCAGCAGTGGATGTATCACTACCCTTTACCTGCTTCAATACAGAATCCCCCAAAAAATGTGAAAAACTGATGCGAAAGTAACTCACTTTTTATTCTGCAATAAGTGAAAAGTATAGAAGTTTTACCATTGGATAGTGTGGCTTAGCATAAGCAAGAACCTTCCCTTCACTGTTTAGAACTTTAACAACTTGCCTTGCACGTCGTGCTTCACCATTAAGAACCATCTGAAACAAAGAGAACAGGACATCAGAAACAAACAAATATGACTTGCAATAAAATTTGGCAATATACCAGGTAAAAGTTAACAGAATTTGCAGCACAAAAGAAATCTAGAGGGCAGGAAATAACCTTCAGTATCTCAGGGTTTTTCCATGGCCCCTTATCAGATCGAAGGCAACCTCCCTGATCTGCACAGGTACAGCTGCCGCCCAGAAACTCTGGCAACTCACTGCATATTTAGAAGAAATATCTTTAAGTCTCAAGCTAAGTGCAATTATAAATGAACAATAGGAAACATAATGATCATCAGAGAAGACAAAAATCATCAGAGGTTGCAATGTTTTATTGCCTATCAATCAAATATCACAGATTCAGCTACGATTCCACATGATCAACAATCTTGATTCACATCACAGTTAGAACAAGAATAATACACTAAATCTCTGTGTAAACATAGCAAGGTTATAGCATTACAGATGACAGATACACTGCTGCCCCCTCACCTGGCATCTATTATCTCAAGCAACTTGTTCTGGTATTTGTTTCCAAGAACCTAAAATGTTGCATACAAAGAAAAAAAAAGGGATTATAAATACATGACATGCCAGTGAAACCAAAACTTTAATTGCTATAGTTCCAATACAAGGAAAAGTAATTTCTACATACATGAATCTTTGATGTTGTTCTAGGATCGAGAAAAGTCTTTACAGTGTTCCATAGAAGCCTAAATCCAGGACCAGCGTTAATGATGAACATTTGCCACAGGGTCTGCACCGATTAAGAATATTAAATTTTAATTTATAATATATATAACAAGTAGCATCGACAGTCTGCAACTGCGTAATTAAAGTTTTAAACATAACATTGCACACCTCAGGGTAATTGTTACCATCAACATTCTGCAACCGCGTAATTAAATCTCGCGCAGACTTTGTAAAATTCTTGAAGCCCTAAAAACATTTAAAGCGAACAAATATAGAATCATTAGATACTATGATTGCACTGAATATGCAGATTAATTATATTAAATGGTTGATTACAGGCAACATACCACGCCTTGAACATCTAAAATTGTAGTGCTTGAATCTATGTGCCTCTTCGCAGCAATGGTGCAAGCTGGAAACTTTATTGCAAAGCTTTTCTCAAACTCCTGAACATGGTATTTCACATACCGATCCATAGTGGTAACCTGCATTAGTTTGTTGGGATCTACTTTACCCAACCTTTCAATGTAAACCGGTCTTCCCTCCTTATCCACGCCATGATGCCCGTGAGGGTAATATTTTAGAACTTCATTCAACTCTTTGAACTCAAAATCCTGAAAGAAACATCAACATGGTAAATGGAATGAGGAAAAAAGAAAAAAGTACCAAAACCTGCAAATTCAAATGAACTTTCAGCTGTAGTTACCTCCATAATAGTGTCGGCACTGTACTCCTTTCTCCATTGAAGCATATCAGCCCACATATGCTTTGCTTTTTCAACATCAAATTTCCTTGCTTTCAAGAACCTGAAAGTAAAAATCTTCATGTTTAAAACTGGCAAATCGTATCACACAAAACAAAACAAAGATGTGAGATGGTATAAACCAAATTAAAAGTATAGAAACAATCAAGTACACTTTAAAAGCACATCCAAAGCAGCATGCGTTTAAGACCAAGATAATAGAATCATAATCAATGAACAAATTTTACTCGATAAACCATCCACATTTGTCTGCCAACATGCTATATGATATGAAATCGTTACTATTTCCACATCCACTCCCAACTATCCTAATACATTATATGACTTCTAACACCATGCATGCTACATTAATATAACAATTGGCAACTATATTTCAATAAACTACAACAGAAAACCTTATATCTTAGATGAACCGGATTTAGGTAGCACCTATATGATTGGCAAAGTGACACTTGAGTGAGCTAAAGCTCAAAGGAGCAGAATCAGAAGAGACTTACACCTCTACTTTTGTCATTTTATGTTTTACCATTGCCCATTTCCCTAGAAAACTAAAACTAAACCCAATCGATCTAGAGCATGAGTGTGAGTTGATTGGGGGGGTCAGTTTGAGTCACCCATTCATCTTAACATCAAGTGAGGATATCACTCAAGTGGCACAAGTATCCATCCAATTATGAACTTCCACAAGTATTTGCATGCATGATTACATGAAGATGCAAGGTAAACAACTGAACACCTCAACATCATATGATAATCATCATGCTTCTCGGGCAGCAATTCGTCCATAATTAGTGCTTGTCGAAAGGCATCAACAGCCTGCAGCTCTTCAACATCACGAACATCTTCAATGGAAACAGAGCTGACTCGGCCATCACTTTTTCTCCTACTGCCCTTTTTCTTGAGAGAATGTTTGAATTTGGTAGATGCGTTTATTGCCTTCTTCTTCAGAGTCCCAATTCTAGTCCTGCGTTCATCCTCGGAGTTCTCAAAGTCAGACTTCCTCTCTCTTCTCTCATCACTACCATAAAATCCTTCAAAACCTGTGGCACAATAACAATAGCATCGACATTAACAACTGGAGTGTCATGCATTGGAAAAACATGGACATGTGAGAATACAAATATGACCATAATAATCATAATTAAACATAAAAATTGAAACTTTCTTTTAAAACTTCAAATTTAACCTAAGTATTCATCAAATTAACCATAAAGCGCATTTCTCTAAGACTGCTCGTTTTGGTCCCTGATAAAATGTAAAAATAGAAAAGGAAAACATTAAAAAGAAAACTAGAAAAACAACAAATTTTTATAGGTCGACATCTTGACACAAGAAAAAGAACAGCCATATACTCAAGCAAGCATTTCTCACACACAAAAAGGGGAAAGAAAAAGTCAAAATTCAAAGCTCCTTCATCTTCTGAGTTTTCTCAGCAACCAAACGGAAACCCCAAATTTAGCAAACTGAACACATCCACAACCACAGTGCCTCAAGAGCACACAAATCCTAACAGATTCAGCAGCAAGAAACAAGCACACCAAGAAGCAAAACCAGCAGCATATCGCCGACAAAAAAGCAAAGAGAGGAGAGAGAAAGACGACTCACAAGGCCTGGCGAACCGATCCAGCGGGCCTGACATTCTACACTCTGATCAGCCACACGCATCAACGCAAATGCACTCTGTCAAAAACTCGCATTTACATCAGAAACCCTAGAAACCACCAAAATCAAACCCCGAATCTCCAAAGCTATCTCACAGCAAGAAATGTGAAGAGCAATGTACCTTTGGTTTCGTGTCACCGTTGATCAGTACGAAGATCGGTCAGCAAGCTCCCTGTGAGCCGATCTGCAGCTGGAGCGTCTTGTCTGTAACGGATTCACAGAAATTGTCGAAAGATTCTTTTTTTCTTTTTCTCTCTCTTTTAAATTAACAAATAAATAAAATCGCAAACAGGCGACGGCGAAGAGAGAGAAAGGGAGAAGGAGAGAGAAGAGATTGATTTGTACTTATAGTTACACTTGGTGAGATGCGGATGGCGGTGGGGCCCAGTGTGTCAGGGACACGTGGCGGGTGAAGAGCGTTGAAAACGGAATCTGCCGGCGGTAGTTGAGTGGTAAATGGGAGTAATTATTTGTAAAACGCCCTCTGGGCCGGGGGTTTTTTGTAATTATCTAGTAATTGACTAATAATTTTGTCAGCCGGGAATGGAGGGAGAATTCGTATTTATGGGAGTATTTATGATGTTTTGTTCTTTGTATTTTTGCACGTGCCATGTTGGGAGATGGAACAAACTTACAATTTGACACTTTTTTTTGTCTTTTATTTTAATTTTAATTTGTGTTTATTTATTTATTTTGGTATTCTGTTTTTTATTTTGTAATGTGGAGTGGAGATAATAACTATTGGGGATGTTTTGGTCGTAGAGAATTATACATGCTTTTCTTTGACTTTTTGGTTCCTCATAAAATATTAAAATATTAAAATATTTGTTGTTAGTGGTATTTTTCTATCCAAAGTCAAAAAAATTCTTAAGTTGAATTTTTTTTTAATACAAGTGATAATACAAACTACGACGGTGAGAGGAGTTTTTCACACATACATAACTTAGGTATCATGGAATTTCAACCTATCTACAAGTCAATTCTTTCCTTGGCATTGATTCAAACAAATACAATCAAATGTGAAATAGTGTATGCATAGGTAAAAGAGATTATCCGGAATTTAATTTTGAGGATCTTGTTAGAAGGTTCACCAAGAATGCTTTTTCATGATCAATTTGTTTTTTGTTTTTACATTATTTTTTTTGTAAATACCACGAAGTGTATTTTTAATCAACGGAAGAAGTGATATTCAAACTTAACACTTAATATTGGGAAGAAATACTATTACGTCAAGAGATATTTGATGGGGGAAAAAAATCAATTCAGGAGGGTGTATTCAATATAGATTTTAAAATATTTTAAAGAAATTTAAAAGTTTAGGTGTATTCAATCACGATTTTATAGAAGTCTATTTAATTCAAACTTTTTAAACTTCATTCAAATTTGGATGTATTCAATCATGACTTTAAAAACTTCATAAAAGTTTGGATGTATTAAAAAACTCATTGATTTTAAAGGGAATACAAAAAGTGGTGAATTTCGTTTGATAATAGACTAATTTTAGGCAATGACAACTTTTTGCTTTCCCCCAGAGATTTTGATAGATATATTATTTTTATTCTCAAGATATGATTTCACCACTTCTACTACCACCATCTTACATGACTCTCAACATAGCCACCGCCGTCGCCGCCACCACCACCACCACCACCCCTAATACCACCATCATTCACCGCCGCCCCCAGCATCACCCCCACCGTTGCCACCACTACCACCAGCACCATCATCATCACTGCCACCACCACCACCAACCTTACCCCCATCGCCACCACCATTACCACCCCCACTATTAGCCCCACCGACACCACCACCACAACCACTGCTAGCATCATCACCATCACTACCACTACCACCGCCACAACAACCACCTTCACCACCACCACCACTACCTCCCCCACAAACCACCATTGGCACCGCCATTCCCATCACCACCACCGTCATCACTATAAACTCTATTAAAATCATAATAAAATTATAACAAGTTCAATTAAAATCTATATATGAATTCAGTCAAAATCTATGTGGAGTTTCTAGAATTTAGTCAAACTCAATTAAATTCAATTAAACTCCATCAACTTTATAACTCTTTTAATTTAAAATCAAATTGAATACACCCACCTAAATTAAGGGCATGTTTACGTACTGAGAATGAGAGAATTCATGCATCAAGGTAGCTTGGCCGGAGGGGAATTAGGTCAAGTATTACGGATTTTAATGTGAAACTCACGTAATTTTTTGTATTCCTTTTGTATTAATAAACACATAAGAAGTCAAACTTTGGAATAATTTCAATACATGTATTCATTAATATCATTCAGTCATCTAATTAAGCTCAAGTAATTATTAAAAATAAAAATAAAAAATAAAAAAGAAGTTGAAATACATGGACGAATACAATGCTTGTGATAAAACCACTTAAATACTTTTGATGAAATTAATTACGAAATATTTTATAAGTAAACTAATTTTTTACAACAATAGTTCTTGAATGGTAACTAAAATAATGAGCGATTCACAAATTTCAAATCACAGGACCACAATGGATGTGGTCTATTTTCTTTCTTTTGATTTACATTGTTTTTTTTTTTTTTTTTTTTTTTTTTTTTTTTTTTTTTGGCATCAAATTAGGAAAAGGGAAGGGAAAAACCCACACGCATGCATATTACATAAGCTTGAACCCAAGATTATTTGGAAGCACACCAAAGACCTGGGCCAATCCAACTAACACTTCATTGGTTATTGTATGCGGAGCTTAACCAATGTAAATTGAATCATTTCTAGAGATGAGTCTTTACTTGACTCAAATAGTATGAAATATATAGAATGACGATGGATAGGTTTTTAATTCAAATACTCATGTAAGGAAAGATAACCATTTTCAATAAAGGTCAAAGATCCTACAACTATTGTTTTGGATATTTTTATCAGACTTTTCAATTATTTAGTTTGTAGATGTTGGGTCTTGAATCTTGATGAAGGCCAGACCAAAAATAGCAATCTTGATAAATAATAAATAAAAATAAAAAGTAGTAATAATGTGTCTCTCCTTCACTATCAATGACCCAAGCATCTTATGATATGAGTGCCAATACTAAAAATACAAATAAACAATTCTGATTTAAGAGTACAATTTTTATGATATAATAATTTTTTTTATTTATTTAAACAAAGTTAAAAACACATTGTTAAAAGCAAGGTATAAAATATTGATAATATCGACGAAATATCAAAGGATATTATCAATTTTTCGAGTCTATGATATTTTGGAACATATTCATACACATATCGTATAATTATCGATAATATCAAGGATAATAATGGAAAATATCGACATCTATAATTTCTCAGACGCTTCAATAATATTTTGTCAAAATATCGCGATAATATCAAAAATATCTCGATAATATCGATAAATATAAAAAATATCGCTATATGGATATCTATAAATATTAAAAATATCGCAATATGGACAACGTCAACCAATCTTGGATCCATATGGGTGGCATGTTAACAACTATATGCAAAACTATTTCAGGGATTTATCATTTGATAACTACTCTTCACCAGCGGCAGAGGTAGAGTTTGATATTTGGGGGGGCCACAAGCTTAAAACTATGGGATTTTTTGTGCAATCTATACTACACTCTTTATATAGTCAAAGAGGTGAGAAGATGGTGGGGGGCCCAGGCCGTCTCAGGCCTATGAATAGCTCCGCCCCTGCTCTTCACAATACACTTACTCAACACATAGAAATGACGAAGACAATAAAAAATTTGAACATTATAGGAACTATATATGGTACTAAGTCTCTCATGTATCTTACCATGCAATGTATAAAGTGTAGAATATTATAGTAAATCATTATAAATAAATTATTATGGTGTGTTTAATCTTCTTTCATTAATTACTACATATATTTTACACTCACAATGTTTGTCAGCTCGCTATATAATCAACTTAAATTAGTTAAATTCATCATGCAAAACATTTTCTTCTAATTTTTTATATATAATAAACTAATAGATAATTAACTAAATAAACATCCTCAAAAGTTTCAATAAAAAATTTCAAGTTATTCTTACAATTTTCGTGATTTTTATTCAATTTTTACTGATATCGATAGTTTTTCCAATATTTTCATCAAAATTTCAGTATTTTTGAACCACCGATATTTCTGAAATCATCGATATTTTACACAGTGGTTAAAAGAATCTAAAAAACTTAACAAATCTTGTCTAAGGCTTGGGCCCCACATTTTGTCACTTTCCTTTTTTGGGTAATTACATTTCATTTTAAATGTTTATGAACAAACAAAACACACACAAAAAATCATGTCTTCGCATGCAGTGAGAGAGGGCTAAAAGTTGGCAATATATAGCTTTTGTGGGTGACCCACCAACGGCGCATGGCTCTTTCAATGTTGGACTCACTTTTGTATTATTTTGTATGATTTCTCCTTCATCTTTTCCTCTCATTTTACTGATCCTTTTGCGCAGCCACAGAAGTCACCTACTGAAAGATTAGATTGGATGACGTTAGGGTTCTAGAAAGATGTTGGGCATTCCTCTGGTAGGATGCTGTTAGTGTGAGTTGTTAACGCGCGTGAGTAACTGAATATAGCACATATATTTTTTCCTTATAAACAAATTATGATTTCTCTCTAAACAAATTACTCTTTTTTTAAATAAATAAAAATGTCAATAGGTTCTAGTCCAGTGAAAAGGCTTTGATTTGGACATCAGTACTCTTATGTTCAAACCCCATGGCACCTTAATAGTGTGTCTGTGTGAGAGAAACCTTCATTCCTCTAATAGTTTAGACTATTGCTTGTATTTAAAAAAAAACTATTTTTTTAATAAATATTTTCAAATAAACACGCATTAAATTATGAGTTGTTTTTTAGCGAACCATAAATTGTAACTTAAATGGGCATTTATTTTGTCCATGGTACGTAAATATGACTTTTATTAACCTAATCTCATAAGTCAGAAGGAAATACTAAAAGGATAAAAATTCATCATATTGATATCATAATAAAAGAAAGTTTATAACTAAAACTCGTGATCAATTAACAAATTCATTATCCTTAATGCAAAATAACTTCTTTTAATCAACCACTCGAGCTACAAGCCTCAAGACAATCCCTTATCGGGCTACAAAAGAGGATCCCATTTGTTGATATGCTTACTAATATGTCATCATCTTCAACAAGTTTTTTTGTTAATTTTTAAAAAGTAAAAAAGTAGTCTTTCATAAATGAAAGAAAGCAGCCTCCAGCATGAAACACGTCCAATTTGTACATCGAAGTCTGAAGCAGCTACTTTAGTTGTTGGTCATCTCCGCAGAAACCGCTAAGAAAAAACTTGCAAAGTGGGAAAAGTAAATTTCTTTTTATTTTCACTTTTTAATATTCGATTTCTTCTCCTTGGAAGGTTGTGTCTTGTGTGCAATGGATAAAAGCAATGTGGAAGATACCAAAGAATTTGCTATCTGTCTCAAAGAATTTGGCAAAGATGACTTTGGGGGTTTACTCTTAATTTCTTATTATGCATGCTTTATTAGCTGTCTAAATTCAATTTTATTTCTCTTATTTATTTGTAAGCAAGAGAAGAAAAATACATTTAAGTGATTCAACTCATTTACGGTACACCTTTTCGAGGTAGCACGTTCGACGCTTGGTTTGGTAATTGCATTCAAAAATCATATATCAAAGTACCTATTGCATTTCCATTCTAAAAATGCAATAGGCGGCCAATAATATGACAATTTGCATACACTGAATACAGTAAACGCCACCAAATGAGTTGGTAATTAGATTCAAAAATCACATGTCATAGTACCTATTGTATTTCCGTTCCCAAAATGCAAAAGGTTGCCAATAACACGGTAATCTGCGTACATTAATTGTAAAAGCCGCCTAACAAGTTGATAATTGGATTCAATATCAAATACCTATTGCATTTTCATTCTCAAATTGAAAAAAGCTACCAATAACATGCCAATTTACGTACTAATTGCAAAAACTGCCTAACCAATTGGTAATTGCATTAAAAAACCACACATCAAAATTTATCCTGCTTTGCCATCTTGACAAATACTACTAAGAGGCAAGATGGAACCCACCATGGCTTGAGGAATTTTTGCTTCCCTTTCAGGCAAGCCAATGGACATGAAATTGGATTTTGGTGTATCGATATCTTTTGGCGTATCGATACACCTGGAGTTTGGTAGAATTTTCGCTCCCTGGGAAGGATGATCCACCGTAGTCACTACAGTCAATCTGCGGCTTTAAATATTCTTATGGCCAACAGTTGACGTATCAATCTTCGGCCATAAAATCTGTCCAAAATTTTAACAAATAACCATACATAGTGAACACACCATAAATACTTGAAGCCATTTTTTCGGGTAAGCTGAAAACGAATTTCCTTTTCTTCTTTTGATTGCATACTCAGAATCAATTTTGGACTAACTTGTCTTTAAATAGGTGTCAAGTAGTATTTCTTTTCATCTCAATGCTGCTAAGAAAATATCTATTTTATGAACACAATATAAACATGCTACAAAATAAACAGGTATTGTATGAACACCATCCAAACAGCTATATTGTGAAACAAATACAAAATTTTGTTCTATAATACACATCATCTAATTCAAATTTTATACGCCACTGACCTTCAAATCGTATAAATTATTTTTGTTCTTTTCTATATTCCATTGACATACAATAGCTAAGTTGCAGTTGTCTGTGCCAGAATATTGCATAGGCTGAAGGTCGGCCATATTTTCCTAATCATAGATCTGCTGTCCTTGTGGATGAAAGTATCGTCATTAAACACTGTTAGAATTAGAATAATGTTATTGATCATGTCCTTGTGGGATACCAGACGGATCCAAGATGACCTAGCTAATACTGCTAAAATTAAACGCTGTCTGTTTAGATGGGCATAGTCAACCCGATATTTTAATCACGAATTTTGAGCCTCTGCATTTGGCGTTAGTGCACTTATATACATGGAAAGGAATGTTGGACCATTTCTAGGTGAGGAGGGCTATATTTAGCTTTGGGTTACATTCAGTCCTCTAATAACTGATTTTATAAGGAGTAGTGTCAGGTTACATTTTAAACGTCTCCCTCCAATAGCAAAGGGCTAAATTTAACATTTTAATAGTTTTTAGTATATTATGTAAATTTATTAGTTAATTTAATTAAACTACTATTTATATTTTATTTAAAATACATTTTAGAAGAGAAAAATATTCAGGGATAGGATTTTTGACATCCATGTGTCGGAATAGGATTTTTGCAACTAATAATAATTGACAAGACATTGTCATGTTCAACCCAGAGAGTATTTTAATTAATTTCATAAATTAATTGATAAATACTAATTAATTATATTTACTTATCTTAAACAATTTTGCGTACCTTAAAATTATTTTAAACATAATTTCAATTATTAAAAAAATATTAGTATTCTAAAAATAAATTTGAGCCTCCAAACCCTATATCCAAGTCTCCAACCTTCCTCAAGGGGCAGCGGAAGATATTGTGACCAACTTCCTTGCACCAACTGCAGAATTGATGGCCGAATTTGGTGCGGTAATCAGTCCGCATCAGCAAAATTGCCCAAGCATAAAACTCACCATTGTCACCTTATCGTCATTACTTATCAATCTCACAAAGTAATTAAAAAAGTATGGAAATTAATATTCTACAATTTGTAAAGCATTGAGCTTGCACGCATCATTCACATGTCGTCTTGAAGAGCTCTCATGCATGATTGGCAGGAAACATGGATGAACCAAGGAATGAAAAACACTCAACACTTTGGACCAAATTATAACGCTTGCAAGGCCAAATAATTCCCCCATACATATATCTTCACAAAAAAATTTAGATATGAGAGCATTCATTATTAAATATTTCTATCTATTTTGCTATCGAAAACAATATTACAATCGCAGAGGCCTAAAAGCTGATAAGATCAAAATATCGTTTGCAACAGGCATGGTATAGTTTTGTGCCCAGATTTGAGGCTGAGGTATCGATTGTCCCGTCCCGTGCTTACAGTTCATCTGCAACTGTGTTGGCTACTCAATATACTGTATGTGTTTTTATCTCCACATTCTCCATAGTCAAAATGAGAATGATTTCCATGTGTTAGTCTTCCTTGTGTAACACTCTCACTAACAAGATTTGAATCTCCTTCAATTTGTCAGTACGATATCTTCTCGTTGAAAGTCAGTCATGGCTGAAAAAAAATATATTAGGGGAAAAAAACTCGTGACTTGTCATTCCGACCACGTAAATTCTTCGTCATCAATTTCATCAGATTTCAATTGATTATCAGCTTCAGCATCCACAGCTTCTTCTTGAACTTCAGCAACATCAGCTTCCTGATCTTCAGGTTCTTCCAACTCAGTTTTTTTCACTCCCTCCTGAAAGTAATAAGAAGCAGCATAATTTTTTTATTAATAAAAAACAACAAAAGAAAAGCTACTACAAGCAATAGAAAGAGATACAAAACATAAATGATTAGAAGTTGTGTAAACAATAAGAGCACAAATTGCACCAATTATCAGTTAAATGTCTTAACACAAGACTGCAACTGTATGATCCTCTAACTTTCTAAGAGCCCTTAAAAATTAAACCAAGTTTAGATTTTATGAATCACTAGAGAAACACACAAGGTTTAGAGCATGTATCCACATTCTAAAATATTCTTGGAGGATGTCCAAGGGCAAAAGAGACATGCCATGCAAATTACATAGTCAATTAGTCATCCAACGGGTTGGTCCTCTAAAGAGATTAAAGCCATAAATAAATAAATAAATAAAAATTGGATCATCTAAGATAAACCAACTCGAAGCTTTTGAAGATAATTTTTATTTTCTTTTCATAAAGAGTACAACTCCTAAAACATCGACAATTCCGGTATGCAGATTCTTCCGTGTGATATACTACCTCCTACTGGAGAATAACAAGTACAAGCAATGAAGTTTGTCTATAAAATGAGTAACTATCTTCGTGGAGATCTAAATATAGACACACAGAAACATAATCTTTCCCAAAATATATAGCAACAGAACATAAGCATCTCACAGAAGAGAGCCAGAGAAAAGATAGAAAATGCATACGTCAGTATCATGAGTTGGTTCTGCTTCCTCCTCCTTGTTTGCCTGAGCAACTTGTTGCAGCCTCTCAATATATGAAGTAAATTGGGAATGATCTGCAAGAGAAAATTATTATATTGTACAACAGTATGAAGCTCCATGTGTGGTTTGGGGTGGCATATAAAACAACAATTGTATTGACTTTAAGCATAGATAAATGAACATTAAATTTATTTTATTTGGTTTTTATTTATTAAAATTAAAATCAGGGAAAAAATTTCTACACAAAATATATACAATTGTCCTTATGCTTCATCAAATGGAATTCGTATAAGAGTAAACAAACACAATGAATAGGGAGGTTTCCATCTGCACAGGTGGGCAATTAATGGTCTTGGGTAGGTTCTTAAGGGAAGATTAAAACAGTAAATAAATAATAAATTAAGGACTGACCTGTGGAACAAGTTGAACGACTTAATATGGCTTCATTGATACGTAATGGATTTTGACGTTCTTCCTTCTTGAATTTCAACTTGATTTGATGACGTGTTCGACCGGGAAAATAAAGTTCTTGAATCATGGTAAAATCTGATCCACACTGCTGAATGGCCTAAATCACATGTGAAGACAAATTTAATTTGACCTCTTATACAATTAGTTGCCACTAGTTTGGAAAAGAATACCAGCAACAACCTTCTTAATCAGGAATGAAACAAAGTTTTTAAATCGCAATTAGAGTTCTAAGAAAATCAACTAGTGCTGTTCTGCAAACTGAGACTGATAACTCATCAGCTTTCACCATCAATCACATATATGGTATGTCAAAGTTATTTTCAATTGGTAGCCAGTTAATTGTAGTGAATTTATAGGTACATTACCCCATAGAACAGTTCTGTGTCTTGTTTAGACCATCTTACGGTGGGTGTTTTGTCCATGTACGACTGGTAATTGAGTAAAAATGAACTCGCATTAACCCGATAACTTGCTTGATTTTCTTCAGAGTTTCCGTCATGTTCTGAAGGAAAGGTCTCCTCTTCATTCTCTTCATCGTGATAAGCTTCCTTGTGAGAATCATTGTTAGCACTGCAATGAAAGAATAACAAAAATAATAATAAGAAATGTGCATCAATGGACAATATATGACTCCAAGAATGATAGTAAAAACAACCTATTCAAAAACAAGCACGTCAGCCTTTGTGTGTCTACATTTCATCAAATGTCATATATCAAACATTTTTCAAACTAAACATTGCTAATGCTTACAAGGCCCCCACCCTCCTGTCCTGAAAAGACAACTCAATTATATTCGAGAAATACGTCTGTCACATGGTTGTAACCTCAAGTGGGTTCAAGCAAAGTTACTAATCTGTGAAAGCATGCTGACTCAAAAGGCCCAATTCACAATCATTCTATTCCATCCATATTAATACCTTCATAATACTTTCAAACAATACATCCTCATGTATGGCCATTTTATACAAGCGACACATACAATAATTTCATACGCATCTTACAACTACTTCATCACTATCTTTTGACAATGGGTATTGAACGTTCAGAGCTCTTGTCGCACAAAATAGGGCAGATTTGTAAGACGAACAGCATGGTGGTTGGGATGTCATATGAGGAGCGCAATGCATTAGAGATCCCAACACACAAGTGTTGTGACATGAATCACCCTAAAGAAAGCGAGATGCCTACACATCAACCCACAACCATCCAACCTTGGAATTTTTGTTCTAATGTTATTTGTAAATATTTCTAGTTACTGTTTTATTCAATTTACAGTAACTGACATACATATAAATTATTACTAATATTCAATTTGTAGTTATTTTAAAATGGCTTTAAATCCAGTGCACAGTCAAAGTATCAATACATATCAGGGGATCTGCAAACTTAGAAATTACTATCAAAACAAACAACACAGAAAAAATACGACATTAACAGCACTAGTCCAGCAAAAGCGGGATCCTGGAAGTGATGGTCTACATAAGATCTTAACCTTCAAGAAATGACTGCTTTCAGTCAATAAAGAAAATTGAGAGATAAAAAGGAAAGAAGAAATAAATGCATCTGACACTTTCAGCAAACTTATGAATCTAAAAAACATAAAAAGTCCAAACTATATTTATATATTTGTATGCTTCTATGCATCATGTTTGCCATTCATTTAAACAAGTATAGTACTACCATATAAAGAATCAGAATAAAGATAAATGCACAAACATAAGAAATTCAAATCAAACATCATCAAGATTACTAGGGACATTATGCTACTATATACACTAGCAAAAAAAATTCCAATCCAAATGTCAATTGTTGCATGAACCATAGTATACAACTTCAACAAGTATGATCAAATATAAAGATATGGTTTCTGCATAAGAATTCAAGTACCTTTCATCGGGGACTGGAGTTGTCATTTTTCTTGCCTCTTTAATCTACACGACATAGGGACAAAGCAAAAAAGCAATGTCAATGTTGGAGAAAAAAAAATATAGATAGAGCTATAAAAGGATTATTAAGTGAAACAGCATCATAGTTCCTCATCCGAAAATTTAACCAGAAAAACTAGAAAAATAGAAATACCGCTAACAGCTCCCTATGCTCTGCTAGACGAATGAGATTCTTTAGAGACAACCTTTGATGGTCAATTTCATCCTCTGGGATTTCAAGCAAAGACTTGTCCACTGCGAAGAGTTAGAAAATTAAAATGACATACAAATTTCGTGTCTCATAATGTTATATACCCAGAAATTCATTTACCATGTCTTTTGGTTCTACGAGTTGAATGGGAAAACCTTTTGGGAGGGTCTTTCGTTGATTTATCAGGTGCTTCCTTGGCTCTTTTACGCTTTTGTACTGGTTCTTCTTTTCCAGATTCAGGTTCCTTGGACTTTCTTGGGGCTCTTTTCCTCTGTGATGTCTTATGCTCCCTATATTCATTATCATTATTCTCGTCTTCATTAACGTTTGATCCACTAGAAGGTTCAGCAGTGAAGCTGTCTTCATTAGCCTCATGCACTAGCTCTTCAACTTCTTGACGAGGTAACCGCTTCCTCAACTTCCTGGATGATGTCCCACCTTCAGCCTCCTCACTGGCTGCAAAAGATTTGCACTTCTGAGAACGATTTGATGCAGTAGAACCTTTTCTATTTCTACTCTTATGACCCTGTGCAATCCAATAAACAAATACAAACAGGTGTTCCAACACAATTAAACACTGAATTATATTTTAAGTTGCAATACGACACGCATGGAAATTTTAAGTTGAAAAAAGTTACCTCTTTTCCAGGTGTCCCCCCAACATCTTCTGAATGCACAGCATCCCCAAAAATGGCACCATCCGAGTGGGTAGTTTCTGCAATGTATCCTGTATTCACTAGGGGATCAGAGGTTGGATGTGGGGTACTAGAATCACCAAACCTTGGAGACGGGTGATCAAGAACATGTCCAGGTGGGGGAGCAGGAAGTGAGCTCTCATTCATGTCAGTTTCAGAAGGCACCAACACAGCTTGTGAAAGCATACACTCAACTTCAGCGGGAGGGATGTGCAGATGCTCCTTTCCTTTTTTCACTTTGAGCTTGGGTTGAAATTTTCCAACACGTTGTCCTAAATCAAACCAGACTCATTGAAATACACAACAAACAATACAGTAGCAACGGAAAAAGTCAAGTGATGGTGCACATACCAGACAAAATGGTAGCATCAGACACAACATCTAGAACTTCAAATTCTGAGAAAGCCCCATCTACCTGACATTGATCATAAACTGCCCAATTAATCAAAACTAATAATTGAACAAGAATCACTTCTGTGACAGTACAAGTCTTCACCTTTGTTTCTAACTGCACTTCATCCGGTTTGTTAGAAACAGAAACTTCTCTGCAGGACACGGGATCTTGGGTTGTACAACAATCAGAAAAAGTTTGAGCTTCTGCAACATCACAAACCATGAACGCTGAAGACTCAGCAGAAACATGGGATTTACTGGCAGCACTCTCTGCGGAAATAATTAAGTGTCAACAGACAGTACTAGTCAATGTTTCTACTGTTTTTAAAAAAAATTGTATTTTGCATTAGTCACCTGTACTCCTGGTAGTTTGACCTAGAAAACCATCAAGACATTCCAACCCAGAGAATATGTCTGCATTCTGGAAAAATAAGAAGTTATCAACATGAAATGGAAAACTAAGAAACCAGGAAATAGGTATTCGTTTCTTACCTCCCCTGCTGCTGTTCCAACAGAAGCTGCAACCTCCAGTTGAGGAGCAGCTGTTGCAGCTGACTCGCAAGGTTTCGTGTCCTTGTTGCCATCAGACGATGCAACATTTGTACATAAATTCTCATTGTTTTTTGCTGGCTCTATGTTCCCAAGAATCTCTGATGTGGCTAAGGAAGAACCTACAGGATCTGTTACTTTAACATCTCCAACATCAATGGATTTAACAGATGGAACAGTATCTGAGACAGTGGGAGATAATGTGGCAGGTTTTTTCCGTTCTGTCATTAGGGAGAGCAGAAGCAGCTGCTGTAGATGCTACCTTGCTTGGCCGGGGCTTCGCCTTGGGTCGAAATCGGCCGCCAGGACGAGCTGCAAACGAAAATAGAAATCAGTTACCCATCTCTTGAGCCAAATAAAAATAGAGTTCTTCAAGTTCTAGGTGCAGACTTACCAAGGGCATTGGAAGGGTCAAGGAAAATATCGTCCAAATCCTCCATGTTGAGTTTATCTTCAACAACCGTTTCTACATATATTAGGCAGAAGCCCAGTCTTCAAATAAGGCAAACAGGAAAACAAACAAAAATCACATTGAGTTCCATGGATACAAAGCACTCTGTTTGCAGTCCAAAAGTCATATTAAAATTGCCCTGCTAAGTGAATTATCTCAGAATTTGTTTTCTTTTTGGGGTTTCCGAGTTTGACTGAAACTCCCTAAAACAACGTTCAAATGATTCTCCTAGACAAGATTATTAGCACCTTCAACTGAGCAAATACAGCCCGAGTATTTAACCATGAACCCATATATAAATCTTCCATCCAATAATATATTTACAATCATGTACTTTGAAGAGAAACTGATAAGTTGAAAAAGAGTTACCTCTGCTAACTGTTCTGCATCACCATTACTAGGGTTTGGGAGAGGTGGGAGGACGACCCAACCGCTAAACGTATTCTTAGTATTTAAATGTAAAATAATTGCAAATAGCGCGTGATAGACGGGATGGTGGTGGACGTGCGTTTCTTAGGATAAGGAGGAGCTCGCTCGGGTTCGAGTCTCGCATTTGGCACAATTCGTCAAATTTGGGTAGGCCCTTGACTTAGTAATTAAGAAAATATGGTATGGGCATTTTAGTAGAGCGTCGTGTTTCCTCTTGACAGGGTGTTTGCAAAACCGGATCCAAACCCGACCCGACGAGTTCAACCGCTTCGGCGTTGGCACATCAACATCGTCGACCCCTTCGCTTCTCTTTCCACCGAAGCCTGATCTCTACGGTTACCGTGGAGAGAGAGAGAGAGAGAGAAATGGAAGAGAAATTTGAGCACCGAAGGCTGAAGAGGCGCTCCTTTCTTTTCAGAGTGGGTTTTGTGGGTTGGGGAGGGGATCCGTCGGGTTTAGGGTTTTTCCGGGGAATGGGTTGGGTTTTGGAGCGGTGGGACTGAGGGCGTGCGTGGCGTGGGGTGGGTTTTAATTTTATTATTATTTTTAATAGTTTTCTTAATCAGTTTTAGTTTTCTTGACCAAAAAATAAATAAATAAATAATTTAAATTGAATTTGTAAGGGCTAAAAGTAGAAAAGTATATTTGCTATTTTAGCAAGTTAATGGTTTTTATGATTTATAAATTTGAAAGCAGGGGAAAGTGAGATTTATCAAAATTTGTCAACATAACCAGATTATTTCAATCAGCTCTAAAGATTTTTTTTTATTTATATAATTTAAAGGTCAGCAAGGCAGTTCCTTTTCCTGCAGCATATGCACTTCCTTTTCCTCGATTTAGCGTTTTACAATAGTCGTTTTATGGTGAGTGTGTCATATATAGATTATAAATGTGGACCTTCATATTAGCTACATGATGCGTCTGAATAGCATCTTCACTTAAGTTTAATAAAATGATCTCGTGACTAATATGAAGATTCACATAAGATGTCCATATATGACAGCCTCATTATAGAATTCTGCGATTTCGCAGTGGGTGAATGTTGGGTTGGTTGGGCCTGTCATGGGTTGGTTTCTAAAATTTGAGAAACAATGAAGGGCTGGAGGTTGTGCTAGAGCTAGGGACTGGGCTGGGCTTCTATATCTATGTCAGTAAAATTATAAACTTTGAAAATGACAGTATTAAAATCAAGGTCTTCAATACAATATTTTAAATGAGCTTAATAAAATCAACATCTTAATTATTCAGCAGAACCCTCATAAAACCTAGCATATCTTTTCTATATGTACATTTGTAGGGTTATTTATTATGCCACGTGTTTATGTATCCAATTGAACGTTTGTTTTCATCAAGGGTTGTTGTCATGTGGCAGGTAGAGCCTCATTCATCTTGTAAGTACATACACATTGCATACTCAAACCTTAACAAACACACCAACCAGCTCTTAGGCCAGTTTGGGATTGCTGTCACTTTTAAAAAAAAAGTTGATTCTGCTGTGCTTTGAAAATAATTAGCTGTAAAGTAAAGCAGCTCCACGTTTGGTAAACAATATTTTTAAAGTATTGTTAGTACAAAAAGCAATGTCAAAATTGTTTGGTAAATTTTAATATAAAATTGTTGTAACTATGAATAATGACTAAAATAGATATAATGTTAAAAGTGGTGGGGATGGCGATTGTGGAGGTGGTGTTGGTGGTGGTAGTGGCAGCATGGTGGTGGTTGTGGAGGTGGTAGTGGATGTGGAGGTTTTGGAGGAGGAGGTGGTTGTGGTGGTTATGGCGGTGGTGGTGGCGGTGGAGGTGGAGGTGGAGGAGGTGGTGGTGCAAGTGGTAGAGTTGGATGTGGTGTCATCTTTTAAAATGAATGATGGTATTTTGGGAATTAAAAAAATTCATTAAAAGTTCATTTCTACTTATTTTGAAAGCAACTTTGAAAAGCAACTCAGAGCCTGCTTTTAAAAGCTGCTGTCAAAAGGTCACTGCTTTTAAAATAATCGGGATATTTTATTTTTACCAACATCTTAAACTACTTAACTTTAAAGTGAAGCAGGTTTTTGGCAAAAAAAAAAGCAATCCTAAACGGGGCCTTAGTCTAGTTGTATTGATTTTTCCAACGTTGAAAGAGGTCTTAAATTCGAAAACCTACCCAACAAACTTTTTAGGGCCTGTTTGAAATCCTACTTAGATCCAATTTTATAAACTCAAAAACACATTTTAAGTCCAAAACTTAAAAAACCCGTTTACTCTCTCTCTCTCTCTCTCTCTCTCTCTCTCTCTCTCTCTCCTCTCTCTCCTCTCTCTCTCTCTCTCTCAGATTGGTGGTTCTACGTTGACGTCGTCGTTCGCAGCTCCATGAAGGCCGTCGTTTGCTGCTCCGTGAAGGCCATCAAGGTCTCCTTCATCCCCTCCCCAACCCAAAATTGATCAATCTTTTTTCATGTTTTGGGTTTCTAGGGTTTATATTGAAAGCTCACGGATTTTCCTTTTCTTTTGTTAATTTCAATTTGGGAATATAGGGTTTCTGATTTTAATTTCAATATTTTTTAGATCTTAAAATCACAATTTGAAAACCTATCTTTTTAAAACGAATTATAATTTTTGAGTATTTTTTTTTAGTAAGATACCAAATAGGGCCTTAGTTTGCAAAGCAAGTGGGCTGTAATTCTGTCTTGATAGTCAGGTTTAACAGGCACCATTATGCATTGCAGGTACAGCAGAGACTCTATTTATTCGCTACCATTTTTAGACACCAACACCCACAAATGCTTACAATTTAAGAAGGCCTTCAAAGAAAGAAGAAAAAGAAAAAAAACATGCACAAAGAGCTTGTATGCAAATCACAACACACAGATCTTTATGACCTTCAACAACTTTGCTGGGTTTGGTGGCCACTGACAAACCTTGAGCAATAAAAATATCTTGACAGAACTGAGGCTAACAATGGAAATTCACTTATGTTCTGCTCTGCCCAAGAAACCCTGAAGGAAAATGAAAATTCCCAAGGACATTGTCCAGGCAGTGGAGTTAATTTCAATCATGTGCTCGCTGAATGACTTGGTTTGGTATGCCCGGCAAATCATGGACAGCACAGAGTGGCTTTGTTGTGGGTGCAAATTAAATTAAATTAAATTACAATACAAACAAATAAACCCCTGCGCTTTCAATCCCTTTCAGATTTTGTCCAAACAGCCCACCAAACCCTACCATTTTCTTTTTCCTTTTTGGGTTAGCTGCGATTTACTCCCTTAACTTGTATGCTATTTTTAATTTGCACCCTCAATTTTTTTTTTGTGGAAAATTAAGTATACAAACTAATTTTTATTGCCAATTCCCCCCTACCGTCTAAATCTCAATATTTCATTCAATTTGACGTTAAGTATGAAGGTAAATTGGTCATTTTATATGTTAAAATAATTAAATACTATAAAATAAATAATATGAAATCTAAAATAAATAATCAATCATTTTAATAAACAGTGGGGCCCACCCACTTCACCTTTGCCTTCCCTTTGTTGCAATTACAAAAAATAGAGAGGAGGGGGAGCTTGAATGGGAGAGAGAGAAAAGGGAGGCTAAGGAGAGGAAGTTATGTTGGGGGTGGGGGTTGGGTCTGGGGTGAAAAAAAAACAGAAGGAGAGAGGGGTCTGTTGCGGGTGGAGAGTGGTTATGGGAGAAGAAAACAAGGGGCCCGAGCCTTAACCCAAGCCCTACTCCCACTCCCACCCTCAGCCACATGGGGAATGGATTTTCCGACCCGACCCATTACAAAAGAAAAAATTAATATAAAACTACTTTGTTGAAAGAAAAAAAAAACAGATTAGGACAATATAATGAATATATAATATATACGAATAAGATAATATAAGAATGTTTATATATTGACTAATTTTTAACTAAATATATATAGCTAGTGTGACTTAAGATTCGTATATATAATATAATAATATAATAATATAAAATTTAGTCGGCATAATCACTTTAATATCATATTTATATATATTATAATATAAACGGTAGGGGGAAATTGGCAATAAAAATTAGTTCATGTACTTAATTTTTCAAAAAAAAAAATTAACGATGTAAATTAAAATTAACATACAAATTCAAGGAGTAAATTTACAATGGACCTTTTTTTTTCTCATCACAGTGAAGGCACTGAGGCCACTAAGTCAAGTTGCAGTTGAGAATTCTTTGAAAGGCTATCAAAAGCACATAAATACATTGCACCAAACCGGGAAACACATATTTTATTTTCGTTTTGACCATCAAGGGATTTTTGTGAGACTAATGTTTCACAAAATGATGGCTATTTCTTCGTCAGAAAACTGAAGCCACTCCATCTTTTGCTTAATGGATAACAACATTTAGGCTTTTCCTTAAAGAGGTTTTTTGTGTATGAAAAACGTGTGTGCAAGATTACTGGTGTGGCGGCCAAATCTTTTGACACAGAAGAACAAAAAACTAAAGGGTCTAGTTAGAATAACTAAATCCATACTAGCTAGTCAACGGGGGGTGTAGCTCAGTGAAAAAGGGTCTTGATTTGCAGATCATTGATCTCAAGTCGAACTCTCATGACACATTGGTAGTATGTAATGTGTGTAAGAAATCCTCATCCCCTTATAGTTTAGAGTATCGTTTGTATTATAAAAAAAACACCTATACTAGCTAGGTCAAAAAGATTTATAAGTTGCATGATTTTGACACTTCAACATCACTACTTAAATCACCACATGCACTTCGTATGTGTGAAAGAGCATAAGACTGTGGGAAGGGATATTTGAAGTGCTAAAATCATCTCTCAAGGAGAAGTTGTATATTATTTATAGCAAATTACTTCTTCTTTTCTTTTGACAAAACGATATTGTAAACTCCTCTAATATATGTATACAAAAGGGGATCAAATTTAGATGTAAAGGGACACGCAAACTACCTTGGTTAACTAACCTAACCACGTCAGCTAGCAAATTCATTGTGGTACCTAACTATCAGCTGAGAAAAAAGAATTTGTTCAATTATTCAAAAGCAAAAAAAAATTATAATTAAAGAAGAAAAAAAACCTAGAGTGAGTTCATTTTTCTTCTTTTTCTTTTCTTTTTCTTGTTTGCTTCCTTCCCTTTTATAAAAGCACTAGCCAACTTGCAGTTGAAGTTCAGTTGGAGCTTGAGAGTGGTATGGTGGCTGTGACTTTCATACAGTCCTCTATCTTTGCAAAATCTTGAGAAAAGGAACCCAACTGTTTACAAAATTTCAAGACAAAACCACCCTTCTTGGTGTTTCATACTCCCATAAAATTCCAGGGGTAGTTTGGACATTTCCAATTTCCAATTATTAAATTCCGGGATATTTTTTTCCCTTGATGCAGATCAAGTCCTAGATGTCGGGGCCCAAACTCCAAAAGTAAAATTAATATACCAACGGAAAGGATCTCTAAGGGATGAAGTAAAAGAGTAGGTAAATCTCATTTGTCTTGTCATATCAGCATTTTCATAAGGAAATAGGTAGGCAAAAGATACACTCTCCCCAACAAGGCAATATTGCCTACTTCAAAGAGAAGAGGTATATTAATCCCACTTGCTTTTTATAATAAAATATCATCTCCTCTCTCTCACTTATTGTTTATAAAATATAATAATAAATGTAAAAGATAAAAATAAATAATATAATAATAGCATGTAGACTTGCATTGCATAGTCCCTTGAAGTGACCAACTTTTTCATGAGGCAAATGAGTAGACAACATGCCACCTAAGTTGCTATAGTACAATTTTGCCTACACTCTTGGAGATGCTCTAACCTAGTTGAAAAAAACCTTGATTTGCATACACTGGTCTCAAGTTCGAATCACCATTCCTTTAGAGCACTTCCACCCACAAGGGCTAAGTCTAAGGCAAGGGCAAGCAAAGGCTGTCACTATTCACGTGAATAGTGTCAGCCTTTGCATTTGTGGTTCTACCCATGAGAGCTAAGTCTATGGCAAGTCTAAGGCAAATACTATTCATATGAGATATGAGGAGATGAATTTGTATATAGTTTTTGGTGTGGGAAGTAAAGAATATGCCTAGGTATTTATTTAAAAAAATTATGGAATTTTTGGTTTTTTTTTCTTTTTTTTTGGGTTGTTGACGTCATTATGACGTCAGCATTGCATCAGTTTGCCCTGGCAGCAGCTCGGGCTGAATTTGCCCTTGGGCCTGCCCGGGCTGGTGGAACCCACCATGAAACCAGGCTGCATCTGCTGCGCTGGAGGTGTCTTGGGCTCGCCAGGGCAGCCTTTCCCCCCAGTTTGGGTATGGCGCTGGAGATGCTCTTATAGTTTATACTATAGTTCGTTTACGACCAAAAAAAAATCACTTATATTAGAAAAAAATTAAATAAAAAAGTATGAGTTTTTTAAAAAAAGAAAAAAAGAAAAAGATAGCTCACAAACACGAGAAAAACTTGCATGTCAAGTTATACATGATAAGAATTCTACATGACAAACCGTGATTAAATAGGAATAGCAAAACAGTATTATCTCGATGACATGCCAATTATTCTCCACCAACACACCTACCCTATATCCCTAGATTTTGCTAATTTTCAAAGTGACTCGATTCAGAGATCAAAAGATTATAGCTTTGTAGTTTTGTAATGTACCCAATAAGATCACTGAAAAGACAATTAGAAATGTGATTTATACGATTGTATATGTTCAATCGTTAATATAATATAATATAAACATAGCTGTTGGTCTGGAAAATATTAAAAAAAAATATCCATATTGTACAATTGGTGAAAAATAGGCAACATTGGGGCAGTGTAAAATGATTTTCTACTGTGCTCTCTCTGTACACAGTTCACAAAGCAGCTTCTCCAAAATGTCATGGGCCATGGTTTTTGTTTAGCATAAACTTCAGAAGAAGCAATTCTTTACTTCTGAATTTAGCTTGAGACACATAGGAGTAAAGTTGAACCTCCATTGCATACGGCATGAAAACTGGTGAAAAAGAAGTACATTTTCTTCACATCATCAAGGAGATGAACACAAAGAAAATAACACCAATATTAATTATGTTCAAACCTACTTAAAGTGATGGTGACACCACTTTATACCGACATCGTGCCACAAATTCATAGCACAAATTATAATACACATATTAAAATATAAAATTTAGATATTTACAATTGGATATTATAATTTGAACGAACTCAGTTCATAGTTCGCTAAGATTATAGCACGTCACCGTGTTACGGTCACATAGAAAAATTTCTTTTTATTTTTTTCTGGTTGAACGAAGAGGAGTGAGTTACCTATCTATTTTCTATCCGTCACTATAAAAAAGATTAACAAATAACATGAGATTGTTGGTTCCCAGCTGGATCTGGACGGTTGTGGATTGAGGGCTTCTCTCTCCTCACCTCACATGTCTCGTCACTTTTATATAATATGAGATTCCAAAGTCCTTTTATCACTTTGTTTTTTTTCTCATTTTTTATATTTCTTTTTCCAAATTTTAATTCATTAATTCATCTTTATGACGAACTATTTGGTTCCTTTTGTTCTATAAATTCGATTTCCAAACCCCTCAATGCCCTCTTCCCTTTTGCTTTCTCTTCCATTGTTTCCTTTGATCTTGGCTTGTGTTTCTGCAGTCCAGAAACCCATTTGAGCCATCTGAGTCTTTCATCATCTTAGCTTTCCCATTTTGCTATTAAAGTTGAGATTTTGGGGTCAAAATCCCCAAACCCATCTTGAAATCCAGCTGGTTTCTCCATTTTTTTCTCACTTTCTTGATCTCAAATCTCAGAAAGTTTCCAACTTTTATTCTGGGTTGGGTTTTCTGAGACTCTTCCAAATACCCAATTCACAAACTTTCTCAGGGACTGGTTTTTGTTTCCAGAAGCTTATCTTAATGCATAACATCTGGTTCTTGATGTATGATATTCATGTCTCCAGTTCTGAGTGAAATCCTTATTTTCGAGTGTATGATAAATTCTACGTTCAGGCGCAGGACCCATTTAGTTCAATCATTCTCAGTTGTTTTCCTTTACTGGCTTTATTACGTTTCATGATTTAAGCTGTCATCAAACGCTAATAATAAGGCTACTATCTGCAATAATATTATTATTACTTCTATTATCTGCAATATTTAAGTTTATTTTGTTTCTGGGTCCTGCTGTTCTCTCTCTCTGAGTTGCTCTCAATTTCTGTGAAAATCTGCAAACTTTTCTGTGGTTTCAATGGCTTCTTCTAGTGGGACATCCTCAGGTTCTTCCATGCTTCAAAACTCTGGTTCTGAAGGAGACTTGCAGGTTCTGATGGACCAGAGAAAAAGAAAGAGAATGATTTCCAATCGTGAATCTGCAAGGAGGTCTAGGATGAGAAAGCAGAAGCACTTGGATGATTTGATGGCTCAGATGGCTGAGCTGAAGAAGGAGAACAATCAGATCATCACCAGCGTGAACATCACAAGCCAGCATTACATGAACATTGAGGCAGAGAACTCTGTTCTCAGAGCCCAAGCGGATGAGCTTAACAACAGACTGCAGTCTCTGAATGAGATTGTGAGTGTCTTGAATGCAAGCAATGGGGTTTTTGCTGCTGGAGATTCAAGCAGCTTCAATGAGCCCACTGACAGCTTCTTCAACCCATTGAATCTGTCATATTTGAACCAGCCCATCATGGCTTCTGCTGCAGAGATGTTTCATTACTGATCTCCATGGGATCATCTGGATTTTGGATTGATTAAGTTTTAGGGAGAGCCAGAGAGGTTTTCTAGTTCTATTTCAACTTTTGTGTTTTAGTCTGAGTTGTGGAATCTCACTGTTAATTAGATGGCGTCTAATGAATAATTTATGTGTAATGTAAAAGAAATAGTTTTGGTTTTGGGTTCAAAGACTGTAAATGGGGTTATGATTTGTTCAAGTGGAGTTTAATAGCTATTTATGTAGTTGTGTTTCAAGTAATTTTATAATAATATTGACTAAGTTGTCTTCAAATTGTCTTCTCTCTAGCATGTGTAGAAACTTTTAACAAAGCCATCTCTTCTTTCTATTTGACTCAAAACTCATTCAAAATCATCACACAAATTAAATATTGTCTTGTATACATGTTTGACAAATTGCAAATCATCAAGTTACTTCACCATCGTATAAAAATTGGAAAATACTTGCTCTATTCCGTAAAAGTAGGAACTCGTATTTTATTGTCAATTACAGTTTGATATGTGTGCATAAACTTTTCTTTTTTGTTTTTAATAAATTATTTTTGTCAATGTGTCGACATAGTTTGCACGTTAGTTTTTCTGCTTTCTAGTTTCTCTCTAAGGTTTGACAAATTTCTGCCTTCTAGTTTCTCTTTAAGGTTTGACAAATTGGAATTTGGAACCAATTGTTCTATGATCAACTGTAGATGATAAGGTGAAATCCAGAAAATTAGGTTCACAGATTCTCAAAGAGAAAAAATCAAGCATCAAAATCATATATACAACTTTTCCACCAGTGTAGGCAAGAGATGGTGATTGATCTTACTTGGTCACCAAACTACAGATCTACCTACCCTCCCTTTCATTTGGTGTATCTGTACCTTCTGCAGAGCTAGTTATGTGGAGCTTTCATAGCCAACCTCTTTTTTCTGAGAAGATTTACCCGTAATTTGAATTATTGCAAAGATATTTTGCTTTACCAGGGCTGGTGAGTTCAATGGCCTAGGAAAGAACACTTTTGTCATCCAATTCATGACCACTTTTGGACCACAAAAATACTGAAACTAAAATGGCCAAAAATTACAAATTACCACTGTGATTCAAGGTAAACTGTGGTTTCAAAATTGCTTTCACAAGTCAAAATGAGTCTTGGAATGATAAAAATGAGTGTCATAAGCATAACCATATTCACCGTTCGGATTAATCTTAAGACACGCTTCCTCTTCGTGTTGTTACATTAAAAGGATCATACATTTGACTTTGCCGTAATTATAACTCATTGCCACACACTTCTTCACCATTCGGATTAACCCCGAGGACTTCAAATGTTAAATGTTTAAGGTTTAAGATTTGTAGTAGAACGAGCTTATAATTTTCTTATGATTCTCAAAATATCTTAGACTTAATATTAAAAAAATCAAAAGGTGAAGGGTACTAAAGGTAACAAATTAAAAGTTAGTCAAAAATAAAGGTTGAATTATGGTTAAAGTCAGCAAGTGGGGTGATGAATGCCTAAAAAAAAACAAAGGAAGGCCTTGGTAAGAAGAAGAAGGTTTACCTTGGAAGTGCTCATGTCGTGAAGGAACAAGCCCCACGTGCAGGGAACAGTTTGAGCTCTGCAAGTTCTCAAACACATGTACATCAAGGCATCAGGAAATAATGAAGTTATGGTTAAAATAGTAATTAATTCGACGAGATCTACCTGCTAACCTGCACAATTATAAAAAAAAATTATTGATTAATCAGACAGTAAGCGTGTGCTTAGATGCTGCTTCCAATTAGCTTTTGACGTACATGTGTGTGTTAATTATCATATTCATTTAGCATTTTGCAGAGAAACCACAGCCACCAATCACTAATTTATTCTCATTTCTGATGCTGGGTTTTTTTTATAAAATTATTTATTATTTATTATTATTATTTTGTAATAGAGAAGCTTTAGATGCCTCTCCATCTTTTTGGTTATGCCTAAAATATATAATTGCTTTAATTAATTTAAGTCCATCTTTTTGCTGCATTAATTTTTTTTAATTTTAAATGGCAAATGATAGGCCATTATTATCAAATAAATTTCAACTGAAAACTGCAAAACTTTAAATATGTTAAGTAGCAAGAATTAGAGAGGTTATAGAATATTACGGTAGTACAGTCACGTAGTAAATCTTGTATATGTATTATAATATAAGTGGATATTTACAGATACTATTCCCTAAAAAGGAGGGTGAGGGGAAATAAACTTTATCGTTCATCCATATTATAATATATTTATAAAATGTATCACATGACTGTACTACTGTAATATTTTATAATTTCTTCAAAAATTAGTGACTTCTGCATTCTATAATGATAATTTCCTTGAATTGGTAGATAAGTAAATCTGGAATTGTTTGATAAGATAAGGTCATTTCATAATGGTGATGTCTTATCAATCAGTAAGGGTTTCTTTGATAAGGCTTGTGTTTCGTTTTCATGTTTTTTTAAAATATGGATATAGGACATCGTAAGGACGGTCGTATGACTTTGGGGGTTAAGTGAAATTATGAGGGCAATTCTATGACTTCATGGTATATTAGAACACTTCCACTCATTTATCATACTAAAGGGTAAGGGGAGGCAAGGGCTATTACTATTTATGTGAATAGTGGCAGCCCTTGCAAAAGGCTTGTGGTGTTTTCACCTATTGCCATGGCAACTACTATTCACATGAGATATGAGGAAATAAATTTGTATAGAGTTTTAGTATGGGAAGTAAAAAATATGATTAAATATTTATTATTATTTTTAAATCTGAAATTTGTAGTTTTTTAAAATTAAAAAAAAATTTATATTTTTTTTGGTTGATGACGTCATCACTGACGTTAGGAAACCTAGGCTAGAGCAACGGCTGGTTTTGCTTGAGGGCCAATCCAGGCTTGTGGAGCCCACCAACAGCCTTGGCAGCATTTGCCCGCTGGAAGCTCTTTTTGGGACTAGGCCCCCCCTTGCCCAGGGCTGCTGGAATCGCTCTTAGATGAAGCCTCAAAAGGGATAAAATTTTGTATGTAACCGTAATATCACATGCCCAACATACCAAAGTGCGAGGATGGTCCTATGACTTCGGGGGCTTATATCATATGATATTGTTTGTTATTTTTGTTATAGATTTGTAGCTTAAAGTGTCAAAATATTTACTCATATAGTCAATGTCTTGCATCTAATTTCACATGTACATCGATATCTTTCGTGTAAAAAATAAATATCAACTAACTTCAAGTATAATGATACCTTTCTTTCCGAGATTGGAAGATCTTTTAGGGTTCGGATACTCTTTATTGATAAAAGAAAGGAACTTCTTAACACAATTTGATGAAAAAGGAAAATAAGTCATCCAAAGCACTTTTTATGTGAAGAAGCAGAGCCTTAACCCCGTTTGGTTCACGGATTGGATTTGAGGGGAAATTATTTCCCATGTAATTTCCCAAGGAATGGGAATGAAAGATTTCTTTCCCACGTTTGGTAATGTCGGGAAAGTAACCGAGATATTTCACTTTGTTTCCTTTCCCATGTTTGTTTTGAGTAGGAATGAAAAACAAAGTTTGTATAATTTTTTATTATACCCATATTAAATCAAATAAAAAAAGAATGCATTTAATGATACGTTGTAATTATAAATTGTTTATAGGGATAAAATAGTTATGAAAATTGTGCATTGAATGTTGGCTCATTTTCCCAAACTTTCCCATGAAGAGGGAAAACAAAACCCAAGTTAAGAGGAGGGCTTCACTTTCCCCCATACTTTCCCATGTGCCAGACAACGATTTCTCATGTCTGAACTTACCAAACATAGGAAAGTAATTGAATTCCCATTCCTAAGTCTCATTTCCCATGAACCAAATGGGAAGGGAACATGGCAATCCTTCAACTTGAATTTTTTTTTTGTGGGGGATATTTTGAGGTTCTCGTTTTCTTAAGATTCCAACAACTTTTCATTTCCCACGCTTAAATATAAAGAAGCAAACAAAAACAAAATAATAATGATATGTTTTATCATGTTTAAAGTTCAATCACTCAATTTGTCATTTAATGCCACATTCTTCTAACACATGATACAAAAACACATCATAAGGGGACAAAGGGTTGTCATGTTTTAGTCGCATGTGTCGCAGAAAATCTGTTGATGTTTTAATCATGGTTCAGTGAGCACTTCTGCAACTCCACCCTCCTCCTCCTCCTTCATGTTTTGCAAACAAATGTGATGTGAGCTGGTCAATTATCACCAAAGCACAGCCTCATCAACACGTCTCTGAAAAATATAAGGGGAAAGAAACCGTGGCATGCCATGTAAAATGACCAAAATACCCTAGCTCGAGCAGGAAAGTTGTATGAGAAAGTGACATTCATATGCCTTAGAGGATGCACTAAATAATATAAATAATATATAAGTTAGCTCTGTTGTGTTATAACTGAGGTGTTATTGTCAAATCATATGCTTTTTTCAATTACAAAAGCTAAATGATTAGACTTGGAACACAGTGTGCTCAAATGTAAGACAAGTTTAATTGGTGATCCTGCCGACATATTTGAATGAAATATCTTCAAACGAATGAATGAGATGACCAATGTTCAGATATTTTTTTAAAATAAAAAATTAAAAGTAAAGTTATTTGTTAAGTTCATAAATTTTTCTCTCTTTTTTAATCGGATTTTTTTATAAGTCTTTTAGTAAACAACATAGAGAGAATCAATATCATTCATACTCCGATTTTAGATAGTTTAGTAAACAGTTTCAACAGGAATCCGAATTTTGACAACTCTTCAATTCAGTTCCTCTCTCCAATTACAAATTAGTAAACATGCCATTAGTCTTGCTCGAAGATATCTTTGTTTTTAGGGCTTCTTAGATTTATGTCTAAAATGATTAACTGTCATTGGGTTTAGTCCTCACTTTTTTAGTTTTAGATGTAGGTCCTTTGACATTTATTACTTTTTTATTGTGTCGATTTTACCTTTTGAACTAAATAAGGAAAACAC